CGTCGAAAATAGCCGAAAAGGCCCGGCAGAAGGGCCCGAACAAAGCCCCGAGGCAGCCAAAAATAGCGCCAAGGCCGTCCAAGAAGCCGTCCAGACGGGCCTAGATGCCACGATTTTTCTACTACCGGCCGGGGCCGGTGCTGTAGTAGAAAAGTGGTTGGCTATTTGACGTAGAGAAAAGCCGAAAAGGCCCGGCAAAATGGCCCGAACAAAGCCCCGAGGCGGCCAAAAATAACGCCGAGGCCGTCCAAGAAGCCGCCAAGACGGGCCGTCAAGCCACTTTCGCCTGAGACATCCTCGCAACTCTCACCTCCTCCTCCTCCTCCTCCTCTTCCTCCTCCTCCTCCTCCTCCTCCTCCTCCTCCTCCTCCTCCTTCTCTTCTGGCCGAGCCGAACAGGCAGGCGGGCCAGCCGAGCCGGGGGCGCCCGCCTTCTCCGCCCCCCCCTCCTCCCCCTCCCCATCCACCTCCCCCCCCCATCCCTGCTTCTCCGGCCGAGCGGAGAAGGCGCGCGGGGGAGTATCTTATTAGGCGGGCGCGCCACCGCCAGCTCACGAACCGGGCGAAGAACCGCCCCCGCCAGCAGCGGGCGAGTCTAAACGCACAACAAACTCTTTCAGGAAACCCTGGCACGCCCCAGGTTAGCTCTGCGAAGGCCAGGAGGCATTGGAGGCACAGGGGTCCCAGACAGCTCCTAGGGCATGAGCGTGCATGTGCATTGGGATGTGCACGCATGTGCGCCCGCGCGCTTCACCGCATGTGCGTGCATGTGCGGGCCCGCGCGGCCTCCCGAAGAGAGGTTGCGCAGGCATGTGCGTGCATGTGCCGATGACAGATCTGCGATTCTCGAACACCTCCCGCATGTGCAGGCATGTGCGCGCATGTGCGTCGGACTGTGCGTGCATGTGCGTATGATGGATACATCAAAACACAGCGCACATGCCCCCGCACATGCCCGGGCACGACGTGCACAGTAGGAAGTCCATCCAAGAAGGACCGCACAGGCCTGGCACATGACTGGCACATGCGCGCACATGACAGCGCAAAAACGGCCGCACATACACCCACCCAGGGGTATAGATGTGAGTGCGGTGTATCCTCCTCCTTCCTCCTCCTCGCCTTCCTCCTCTTCCTCCTCCTGCTCATGCTCCTCCTCCTTTCCCTCCTCCTCCTCCGATGTATCCTCAATCATCCCTTCTCTTGGGGTACGACATTTGAACCACCCTTAGATCCCACTGCAGTCCACTCCACATCCCTGATCAGGACAAGTCGTCTGCGCATCGTTACTGGATGGGCTGGTGGGGCTACTTTTTGATCGCGACCGTCGCGACACATCGCACGGCGTCAAGTCAACGCGCATCTAACGAGCAGCGGGCTAAATTAGGCCCTAAGCGACAGGAGCGGGCTTCGCTGCCACTCAGGAGGCGAAACCGACGCTGACGAACAGATGGTACACGCCGAAGCCGACGAAGGCCAGGATGAAGGCCTCGATGCACGACTGGTGGGGCTACGCGAAGCATCTAGAACATCTAATTATTGTCTTGCGAGTCGGGGAACACTCCCTGGTCCACACAACTCGGCTCTTGCGCACGGCGCGCAACAACCAAAAAGGATGAGCAGCACGAGCACCAGCTGGCTGGTTATGTCAGCCGAGCGGATGTTCATTGTGGCTTATCACATACTGCAGGTATGTTGACAGTCTTCGCATGATGACACGAGCTGTCGCTGCATTTGGATATCCAATTCGTCTGCAAGTACCACGTTCCTTCTACGACATATCTAGAGGGCCTGAGGCGATACTTCGAACTTCTGCCAAGACGACGGTCACGCAAGCCATTGGCGATACATTACTTACATACTCTCGAGGTGAAAACCTTGGACCGAAAAGAATTTCATAAGCCTGACACGGTGATGTTTTCGAGCCCGGACTGCGATCTGTGAAGCGCGCTACAGCGCGCGGCAGACCTCGGCAAGAACGCTGGACTGGGCAAGTTGACTCTATTCCTTGCGTTCATGTTGACTGACTTCTGCAAACTCTGAGGTGCGCAGAGTCGCTAGCCACGCAATCCTTGCCCATGGGGCTACCTCCTGCCACACGCACGCGCACATCTTGTGTTTACGCTGGAGCTTGGCCGCCTTCTGTACGTCGCGTGTTGTGGTTGCACGCGAGCCTGGCCGTCGTTCACGCTTCGCGTTTGACAGAATCAAGCTCTCGGGGATCTTCTGACCCGGGTCAATCCAGACCCGGGTCAGCAGGAAACCAAAAACTGCAATGCAGGAACAAAAAACTGCAACGCAGATCCTCGCAAACCCGGGTCAGCCAATACGCGCGGCCGCCTCGCGGCCACGAGCGGCTCGCTGACCCGGGTCAGCCAGAGGGGGTCTTCGCAGGATCCTGCAGGATCCGGCGCCCTGGCTGACCCCCGTTTGCACTGACCCCCGCCTCTCAGGCCCCGAAGCTCGCCACGGCTTCGTTCTCGGGTCGCTTCCCGCCACCTCGCGGTCCACGCTCCGCCCCGGCCATGGTGGGCGTGCGCCAGACCGCCGAGCGGGCCCGGCACGCGCGCTCCTCCGGGAACGACGCTGCCTGTCCGCCCCCGCAGCATGTGGGCTCGACGCGCCCGCTCTCTCTCTCTCTCTCTCTCTCTCTGTCTGGACACATGCCTGCGGCTGCTGGTGTACCCCGCTGCTGCCACCATCATTGCTGTCCTCGTTTGCGGTGGAGCCCTTCTGGATGGCGTGTCCCGGCGGCGGCCCTGGCAACAAGCTGTGCCTGGCGAGCGGGTGGCGTGTCGCTCCGCTCCGAGGGGCGGGAGGCTGGGACAGGCTCGGGACGCTGACGCCTGGGAATGGGGACGTGGATTGCGTGTCGCGCCGAAGCGTCTTAGGCCAAAACTGGTGGAGCGACACGCTATCCAAAAAATCCCGACCGTATGTGGTGGAGCGCGCGGTCGGCCTTTCGACAATTGTCCTCATTCGCGTTTGGACTATGCTGCTGACTAGGGTGCTGTCTTCTTGCAGGTGCTCTTTTCACATCTTCCGGCTCCGTCTGATAATAATACCGCCCTTTGCCTTGGGTGGACTGTTTACCTGTATTGTGCGGGCTGGATGCGCACGCTCTGATCCAGAACGAAGTCCGTCTGTCTGTTTGCCTGCTTGCCTGTCTCTCTGTTTCTGTGTCTCTCTCTCCCCCCATCCCTCCCTCACTCTCTCTTCTCTCATTCTCTCTCTCTCTCTCTTGTTTGTTTGTTGTTGTTCTCTCTCTCTCTCTCTCTTTGTTCTCTCGTTTTTTCCTCTCTCTCTATCCCTATCTTTATTACCTCTCTCTATCTCTCTGATTTGTTATTCCCTACCTAGGCTCTGCCTAGAAGGGTTCTTACTCGGTATGCTTAAAGGGCTGGGCAGTGCAACTCGCCCCCGGCGGTTCCCCCAGTATCCGCCCCGCGGTTCCCCCAGTTACGTCCCCTTAGCTTAGCGTTGCTCATCTCATCTTAGCTTAGCTTATTTCATCTTAGCTTAGTTTAGCTTCATCTTAGCTCAGGTTTATCTTAGCTAACTTACCTTCATCTTATATTCGCTGAGCTTTAGCATAGCATAGCACAGCATAGCATAGCGCAGCACAGCATCTCATAGCATAGCCCAGCATAGCATAGCATAGCGCAGCATAGCATAACATAGCGCAGCACAGCACGGCATAGCACAGCGCAGCATAGCATAGCATAGCAAACCATAGTATAGCATAGCGCAGCATAGCATAGCATAGCATATCATAGCGACGCATAACATGACATAGCATAGCACAGCACAGCATAGCAACAAATGCTGCTTTCCTATGGGCTCCAACTTCTAGGTAGGGCCGCACTGTTTTTTTTGTTGTTGTTGATTCTCTCTCTCTCTCTCTCTCTCCCTGATGAAAGCGAAGAGGGGCACCATTTTGACAGCCGCGCGCGCGTATGAGTGTCTCGTGGCACTGTGCGGCGCGCGTCGGCCCCTAGCAGGTCGTGCATCGGGGACGGCGCCGCACGGATGCTTTGGCGATGCGGCGAGATCCCCCCCGTCTACCCTGAGGGGGGGAAGAGGAGAGGGAGGACGAGGGAGGAGGGCAGGAGCAGGAGCAGGAGGAGAGGGAGGGAAGCCTCACCTCTCCAGGTACACCAGCAACGACCGCATATTCCGCCCCGGCCTGAAAGAGTTAGACCCTTGGCCCTGCAGGGGGGCTGATCGTCATGCTGGTGCACCCTCGCGCGATCCAAGCCCACGTCAGTATGTTGTTATTCGAAGGTGGCGAGGTAGGGAGGTGGGCTCGCTCTCCTATTATGTTGCTGGCCCCCGTGGCGTTCCTTACCAGCATGTAGCTCGTTCGCGCGCTGCTGGGGTATCCAGCCTTCTCACATGTTCCACTCCTCCCATTTCCAGGTTATCGCATTTTATTGCCGAATATGTCCATCGTCTCTTTGTTGTTCTATGTTGTCCGAACTCCAGCAGTGCCTGCTCGCGCTGGGCAGTCGCACCTCCTCACCCCACTCATATGTTGCTTCCTGCTCTTCCTGAGCTTGCACGGTGGCTGGCGCCGTTGCATCCGCCGTGCTCTCTCTCTCTCTCTCTCCATCCATGTGGTACGCGGGCGCCGTCGGCCACTGCATGTTGCCCATCTTGACCCTATTCCTGCTTGTTTGCCTTGATGATCGATGCCTCTCCCATCGCTGGCCTGTGCTGTGGGAGTGGCGTCGGGAACCCGCGGCGCGCGGCCCCGCACTGACGCTGCGGGCTCTCGCTCCCACGGCATGCTCAAGAAAGAAAGGAGGGAAGGAGGGAGTGAGGAGAATGAGGATGAGGTCGATGATAATTATCAAAATGAGTAGGAGGTGTAGAGAAGAGGGGTGAGGATGAAGGACCAGCAGGACCCTCTGACCCTCTCTCCCTCCCTTCGTGCATTCCCTCCTCCGCGGAGTGCCTGGCAGCCCCGGGTGCCCCCGAAGCGGCCCATTGGAGGCGGCTGCGCTACCTGTAGATCATTGCCTGGGAGCCGGGCGAAGCGCCCTTTGCGAGACGAAAGAAGAATGAAGACAACGTCGGACAGAGACAACTCGGGGGATATCCCAGGTCGTAGTATCGGCATTTAGCCCTTCTCAAGGACAACGAAAAGAAACGGGTAGCAGGAGGAAGCGCAAGCCTGATACGAACGCAAGGTTGGGAGGCAACTACTGGGAGGTTTTCGTCGGAAAGATTAAGGAGGAATAAGCCCCATTTGGGAACTGTTACGCCGGAAGGGCCTCGGACTAAGCAGGATTAAGCCGGATTAAACGGGATCAAGCGGGATTAAGCCGGATTTAGCCAGACTTCGGACCAGGGCAAAATCAGAATTTGACCTCCCAAGAGTTGCATCCGAAGCAAGGTTTGCACACCGCCGAGCAAAGATAACTCGGGATCGCTGGGAGCCGGAGGCTCCAGCGAATGCATCGGGCGCCGTGGCTGCTCCGGAGCGCCCAGGAGCGCTCTGAGAGCTCTCCGGAGCGCCCTTCAGCGCTGTGCGTCAGAATCCTGGGTCCGCCTGACTCCTGACTACCTGCCAGACCACCCCAACCGAACCCGAAGACGCGAACTTGTCCCGAATTTCGGGTTGGGGGAGTATGGTTTCCATGCGTCTTTTCAATGTTCCCCGACCCCCCCCCCCACTGGAAGTGGAGGGCAAATTGAGGCCTTGGGGTGGTTGGGTTGGGGTGATTTGGTGGGTGCTGAGACTCCCCACCCCCCCCGAGCGAACACGAGGGGGAAGAGCTGCCCAAGCAGAGTGGGAAGCGGAGGCGGCAGGAGGGGCCGCGCAAGAGCAGCTTCCGAGGGCACGGGCACCGAGACCGAGGACCCCGAGCAGGGGCCGCAACTGCAGGCGAAGGGCGGCTGGCAAGGCGAGCGGAGGAGAGGGGGGCACGGGTGTTGGTAGTCCCCAAACGTGGTGGTGACAACACCTGGCGGTGAGTCTCGGGCGATTTGGTGTCACCATCCGGTTTGGGGACTCGTGCGGTTTTCCGAGGATGTCCCGGACACTGGTGGGTCCAGGAGTCACAAAACCCGGTGGTGACCCCGCGTCCCCAAACCCAGCGGTGACCTTTTTGGGGATTCCAGGTCGCCACCTGGTATCTCACCACCCGGTTTAGGGGTTCCCAAGGGTGGCGGGAGGCGCGATCCGAGGAGGCCGGGAGCAGACGGAGCCGAAGGGGACGCGAGAAGAGGGACGACGAGGAGGAGGAAAAGGAAGCTCAAGATGCACCACCGGTGCTGCCAATCGCTCGCCCGTCCCAGAGAGGCCCCTCCTCAGAGGCCAGCCGCAAGAAGGTCTCTGCGCACCGCGGAAGGTGCGCCCCCTCGAAGGGCGAGCGCCCGGTGGTCTTGCCATTCGGGCTCGGGTTCCGTTCTGCAGAAGGGCTGCCTTCCGTGTCTCTAGCTGTAAGCACGGCGGCGAGGCTGGATGATCAATGTCAGAAAAGAGAGGCGTCCAGCGAGAACCCTGCCTTTTGAGACAAAGCCGCTCTCCATCCATGTGAACGTTATCCGTGCTTCAAGGTCTGGCCATGCAGCCTGCGGACGTTTCAAACAATAGCCCCGATATGAAAAAAGAACCGCCCTGTGTCTATGCAGATGTTGCGCAACTTTCAATTTCTGAACTGATGAGTAAGGAAGTCTCACGCGAACACTCCCTTTTGGAAAAGATCCCCCTTCGACCCGTCTAACAGTTTAAAGCTTGTGGCACAATTTTGCGCGGCACTGAACCGAAAACCACATTTGGCAAACGAGCGATTCTTCTCCACCAGTGTAACTGTTTAAAACTTGTGGCTCGAATGTGCGCGACGCTGACACGATAACCACATTTTGAAAACGACCCCATCCACCCGTGTAACTGTTAGAAGCGATTGATAGCACCGTGCACAACTCAAACGCGAACAACACATGTTGAAAACGAGCCGTCATCCATCTGCGCAATTGTTTCCAAGTTTTGAATGCGAAATTGCGCGGCGCTAAGGCGAGAACCACCTTTTGCAAACTATTTCCTTCCATCCGTCTTGCTGCTGAAGACTTGTACAGTCAAACCGTGGAATAAGGATGCGCGATAAGGGCGCAAGGGCCTCGGACGCCCATTTCGCAGCTTTTCGAGCGGGGCGCGGCCAACGAGAGCGGCTATGCGGGTTGACTGTAATACGAATGTGCGCGGCGCTCATGCGAAAACCATATTTTGAAAATGACCCCCTCCACCGAACACGTTCGAAGCTTCGGCAACGAACGCGAGGCGCCAAAACGAGAAACCACACCCTGAGAAGGAATCGCCATCCATCAGTGGAGCTGTCGGGAACTTGTAGAACCAATGTTCTCAACGCTCGGGTGAACGCTAACTCCATCCGTGTGACTGTTGGCCATTTCAAGCTGCGGCGTCATACGTGGGGAGGAAGTCTGAAGCGAAAAGCATGGCCCGCCCGATCCACCCGTCTGATGCCCAGACGAGGTATCTATATATAAGGGAACAACTGGAGGATGAGGAGGAGGAGTCCGCAGGAGGAAGAGGGGGAGGGGGAGGGGGAGGAGAGGACGAGGGTCAACCGACAACTCACCAACGATGTTAAAATGAACCCTCACCCCAAGCTCCCTCTTCATAGGTCCCTACAAGAATTCATTTCCATTGAGGGGCGTGCCCCATTGGGAGACAACCGTTTGAAGACGCTGCAACGTACCAAAACACAATTCTCGGGACTCCAGCGTCACGACTCAATTTTACTGTTGCGTTTTGACGATCCTGACAAATGCCAAACCACCGATCCTAGGCGACTCAACGGAACTGTTGCGCCCTGACAGTCCTGAATCCTTCAAAACCGCTTTTTCTGCCACGCTGACCGTGGGCATCCGTGAAACTCTTACATTTATAAAAAACCGAATGTACGCGCGCTAAGCGAGAACAACATTTTGAAAAAGGAACCGCCCTCACTCCGTGAAATTCTTGCGTTTTTATAAACGAGTGTGCGCGGCGCTAAAGCGAGAATTACGCTACCGAGGAACCCCGCACACTGATTTTTACTATTGTGTGTTTGCTTGTCATTACCATCTATGCGCAATGCTGCGTTCTAAACCCTCGTCGCGAATCGTCGTCGCACTTGTCGTACTCGTTGTCGTACTCGTCGCACTCGTCGTCGTACTCGTTGCCGCTCTATCGTCTTGCTCGTCATCGTACTCGTCGTCGTGCCTCGCCGTCGTACTCGTCTTCGCGTTCGTCGTCGTGCTCGTCGCACTCGTCGTCGCACTCGTCGTCGTCGCACTCGACGTCGTCGTACTCGTTGTGTTGGTAGTGCTCGTTGTATTCGTCGCCGCACTCGTGGTCGTCGTCGTCGTCCTCCTCCTCCTCCTCGTCCTCCTCCTCCTCGTCCCACCCCATCCTGTCAACTCCTCCGCACTCCTCTCAATTCCTCCGCACTTCCCTCAACTCCTCCGCACCCCTCTCGACTCGTCCTCTCGTATCCTTCTGTGCTCCTCCTTCTGCACTCCTCCGCGCTCCTCTCAACTCCTCCGCGCTCCTCTGAACACCTCCGCACTCCTCTCAAATCCTCCTCCTCGCAACTCCTCCGCACTCCTCTCAACTCCTCCTCCTCGCAACTCCTGCACGGCCGCGCACGGCGCGGCACGGCGCGGCGCCGACGAAAGGCGTGGCACGGCAGTGATTCCCGACGGCCCCGGGGCTTTGAGCGCGCCTCCAGACGCCGAAAGAAGCGAAAAACCTCCTCAAACCTCGAAGTGCGTCGCCGTCGTCGTCGTCGTCGCCGCCAGACATGGTCAGACCTCCGGCGGCGCAGTGCTCCCTCGGGCCCCGGATGGGGCGGGCGCGGCAGGGGGCGGGGGCGGGGGCCGGGAGGGCCGGCCAGAGCTCCTGCGGACCGACGACAACGACCTTTCTCGCCCTGCCTTCCGCCACCATTTTTTCTCCTCTATTCTTCTTCTCCATTTTCTTCTATACTGCTCCTGGGAGGGCCCATAGGGAAGGGAAGGAGGGGAGGGAGGGAAGGAGGGAGGGACTCCTGCTGCTGCCCCGGCTCCTGCCCCCTTTCCTGCGATGGCAGCTCTCTGGTCTCGCGCCCTTCGATGGAAAATCTCTGGGCGACAGCGCATTCTATAAACCCTAAAGACCTTCGATGGAAACTCTCTGGTCTTTGGATGCGGACGACGCTCTGTGGCGATCAGACGCAGACGTGCCTAGACGGGCACGATGCCAAATCCATGTGGGAAAGCAGCGCGCGTGGCATGCTGCAGCGAATCGCACTCTGGGAAACCGCACTATCTTGGCAGCCATGCTTTCCACAATCTGCTCCAGACGCTGTGCCACAGATCCTGAAAGTTTTGCTGCTTAGTATATGCGTTTGGAGGAGGCAAATTGCCGCCTCCAAAGCCGAGAGCCAGGGTGCTGACTCCAATTTACTTGATAAAAGCCAGGCCTGACGGCATTTCGCCAGCCAGTGTTTGAGAGGTCTCGGGCAGCCGTGTCAGGAGGCCACGAGCCCCAATCGAGCCACATGTCTCAGCAATATTCTCGCAGGGCGCTGGCCTAGGGTCCGCAGCCGAGCAGAGTTGGCTCGTCGGGCTTCGTAAACCACCGAATTCGCTTCGCGACCGTCGTCGCTCACTCTCTTCCTTGTCCCTCCCCCCCGCCGAGAGCCAGGGTGCTGACTCCAGCTTACTTGATACAGGCCAGGCATGGCGGCACTCTGGAAAACGCAGCGCTCAAGGACCACCCCCTGCGCCCCCCTCTGGTGTCGAGAAAGTGCCACGCCTGCTGTGCCTGGACGACCGTCGCGCATAGCGGCCGAGCTCAGGGACCACCTCCTGCGCACCCCCTCTGGTGTCGAGAAAGTGCCACGCCTGCTGTGCCTGGACGACCGTCGTGCATAGCGGCCGCGCTCAGGGACCACCCCCTGCGCACCCCCTCTGGTGTCGAGAAAGTGCCACGCCTGCTATGCCTGGACGACCGGCGCGTATAGCAGCCGCGCGCTCAGGGACCACCCCCTGCGCACCCCCTCTGGTGTCGAGAAAGTGCCACGCCTGCTATGCCTGGACGACCGGCGCGTATAGCAGCCGCGCTCGGGGACCACCCCCTGCGCACCCCCTCTGGTGTCGAGAAAGTGCCACGCCTGCTATGCCTGGACGACCGGCGCGTATAGCAGCCGCGCTCAGGGACCACCCCCTGCGCACCCCCTATGGTGTCGAGAAAGTGCCACGCCTGCTATGCCTGGACGACCGGCGCGTATAGCCGCAGCGAGAGACCACCCCCTGCGCACCCCCTATGGTGTCGAGAAAGTGCCACGCCTGCTATGCCTGGACGACCGGCGCGTATAGAGACCGCAGCGAGAGACCACCCCCTGCGCACCCCCTATGGTGTCGAGAAAGTGCCACGCCTGCTATGCCTGGACGACCGGCGCGTATAGAGACCGCAGCGAGAGACCACCCCCTGCGCACCCCCTATGGTGTCGAGAAAGTGCCACGCCTGCTATGCCTGGACGACCGGCGCGTATAGAGACCGCAGCGAGAGACCACCCCCTGCGCACCCCCTATGGTGTCGAGAAAGTGCCACGCCTGCTATGCCTGGACGACCGGCGCGTATAGAGACCGCAGCGAGAGACCACCCCCTGCGCACCCCCTATGGTGTCGAGAAAGTGCCACGCCTGCTATGCCTGGACGACCGGCGCGTATAGAGACCGCAGCGAGAGACCACCCCCTGCGCACCCCCTATGGTGTCGAGAAAGTGCCACGCCTGCTATGCCTGGACGACCGGCGCGTATAGGGACCGCAGCGAGAGACCACCCCCTGCGCACCCCCTACGAGAAAGTTGCCACGGCTATGCGGACGACCGGCGCGTATAGAGCGAGAGACCACCCCTGCTATGGTGTCGAGAAAGTGCCACGCCTGCTATGCCTGGACGACCGGGCGTATAGAGACCGCAGCGAGAGACCACCCCCTGCGCACCCCCTATGGTGTCGAGAAAGTGCCACGCCTGCTATGCCTGGACGACCGGCGCGTATAGAGACCGCAGCGAGAGACCACCCCCTGCGCACCCCCTATGGTGTCGAGAAAGTGCCACGCCTGCTATGCCTGGACGACCGGCGCGTATAGAGACCGCAGCGAGAGACCACCCCCTGCGCACCCCTTATGGTGTCGAGAAAGTGCCACGCCTGCTATGCCTGGACGACCGGCGCGTATAGAGACCGCAGCGAGAGACCACCCCCTGCGCACCCCCTATGGTGTCGAGAAAGTGCCACGCCTGCTATGCCTGGACGACCGGCGCGTATAGAGACCGCAGCGAGAGACCACCCCCTGCGCACCCCTATGGTGTCGAGAAAGTGCCACGCCTGCTATGCCTGGATTGCGGAGAGCCTGGCGACGACCGGCGCGTATAGAGACCGCAGCGAGAGACCACCCCCTGCGCACCCCCTATGGTGTCGAGAAAGTGCCACGCCTGCTATGCCTGGACGACCGGCGCGTATAGAGACCGCAGCGAGAAACCACCCCCTGCGCACCCCCTATGGTGTCGAGAAAGTGCCACGCCTGCTATGCCAGGACGACTGGGGCCACGCCTGCTATAGCAGGACGACTGGGGCGTATAGAGACCGCAGCGAGAGACCACCCCCTGCGCACCCCCTATGGTGTCGAGAAAGTGCCACGCCTGCTATGCCAGGACTGGTGTCGTCTTGTGTGTGCGAGTGTGTGCATGCGTGCGGCTGTATGTAGACGCGTGTCGCCGAGACGTGCTGTGCTGTGCTCTGCTGAGCTGTGCTGTGCTGTCCTATGCTGTGCTGCGGTCTGCTGTGCTGTGCTGCGCTGTGCTGAGGAGGAGGAGGAGGAGGAGGAGGAGGAGGAGGAGGAGGAGGAGGAGGAGGAGGAGGAGGAGGAGGGCGGGTGTGGGGGAGACGCGGGCGCGGCGCGGCAGGGAAGAAAACCAGAACCCCACGAAGCATGTGGGGAACTACATTTTGAAAACAACACACCCTCAATCCATGAAACTCTTGCAACTTGTGAAAACGAATGCGGGAACCACATTTTGAAAACCCCCCACCCTCAATCCGTGAAGCTCTTGTAGATGTTGTGAACTAATGCGCGCGGAGAGATGGCGAGAGCCACATTTTGAAAACCACTCGCCCTCAATGTGTGGAACTCTTGTAGTTGTTTAAAACGTGCGTGCGCAGCGCTAAAGGGAGAGCCACATTTGACAACTACCCGCTCTCAACATGTTAAGCTGCTGTCATTTTTTAACTTCAAGATCATAAATCGTACGGAGCGCCCGGCCCGCCCTTCCGACTGGCCTCGGGGTGCGACAGGGAGGAGTTACTCATGATGAAAAGCACTACAGAGGGCCGCAGGAGGAGGAGATGGAGAAGGGGGAGAAACCCCCATGCATCCCCCGTAAGCACCAACACTGCCCAAGTAGCCAGCTCTGGAGCCCCTTGGTACGCCGGCATTGGCCCCTCTCTTCGGGGCCAACCTGAACTCCCGCCAGATTCCGCCGACCTTCCGACGGCTTCCACTGGCAAGCCCGCCGGAGCTTTACCTCCATGGGCCTTCCGCCCGCCTTCACCGAGGGCGAGATGACAGCCTCCAGATTCCTTGAAGGCGACTGCCTCCTTGAACACCCCACATCACATGTTCTGCCTGCTTTCTCTCCTCCTGGCCTCTGGGCCTCCGGTGCGCCAAGGGGGCCCTGGAAGTCACGCAAAGAGGGCACCTGGAGGTTCCCTTCCCTCTCGAGTCGGTGCGATCCTGAACATCGAACGGCGACTTGTAGGAGAAGGCGGAGGACTCCCTAGAACCACCCGCAAGCAATAACAACTAAATACATAACCTTCCCCCATCCTCCCTGCTCGCGCCTCCTCTCGGGGAGGGCAGATGCAGAATTGGCAGGTGTCGGGTTCTTGGTGGCCGCCCAGCCGCCTGGGAGCAGGTGAGCAAGCACCACTGGGTGACACGCATGGAAGCCTGGGTTCTCCTCGTCCTCGTCCTCGTTCCCTCCGTCTGCTCCTCCCCTCCTCCTCCTCCTCCTCCTCCTCCTCCTCCTCCTCCTCCTCGTCCACCTCCTCTCCCTCCTCCTCCGCCACCGCCTCCTCTGCCTCCTCCCCCTCCTCCGCGTCCTCCTCCTCCTCCTCTTCCTCCTCCTCCTCGTTCTCCTCGCAGAGGCCTCGATGAATATGCAGACGCACTGCACGAGGATCAGGAAGCCCAGGCTCCATTGCCAGGGGTCCCTGTCAGACTGAAGGCTCCACAAGAGGCCACCTTTGCAGGAGGGGGAAGGATGAGGAGGAGCAGGAAGAGGAGACGGGGGAGGAACAGAAAGAGGATCACAACGAGGAAAAAGAGGAGACAGGAGCAGGTATGAGGACAGAGGAAGAAGAGGGATAAGAAACTCATGATGCTGATGATGATACTACTGCTGCTGCTGCGGATGATGATGATGATGATGATGATGATGATGATGATGATGATGATGATGATGATGATGATGATGATGATGATGATGATTATGATGATGCTGACGATGATGATGATTATGATGATGATGTTGATGATGATGACGATAACATGGATGCTGACGCTAATGCTGTTGATGCTGATGCTGCTGATGAGGATGACGATGATGATGATGCTGTTTATGCTGATGCTGATGCTGCTGGTGATGATGTGATCTTGATGGGAGGGGGAGGAATCGGAGGAGGAGGAGAAGCAGGAGAACGGATAGAGGGAAGGAGTTCGATCCGAGCCGCGACAGCAGGCGAGGAGATGCAGGAAGAGCGAATGCTGAGAGCTGAACGGCAGCAGGTGCAACGACAGTGGAGGGGGCAGATGCTACCTCAGACAGGCGGGCCGCTTCATGGTCGTATGTTCGCTCCTTCTCTTTAGTTCGCACCATCTTCCTGTCAGACAACCTATGACGGGCATCTCTGTGCGTTGTTCTGCAGAGCCTTATGGCCGTATTGCTCATCAAGACGGCTTCCATTGTCATCCCCGTGGCTCGCCGTCTTGGTCTTGCTGAGCGCCTTCCGTCCGAAATAATGCTCCCATTCGTCGGTTTAGCATTTGCGGGCCTCGGCGATATCCATGTGGCGCTTGAGCTGGATCTTGGGATACTGTGGACACCTTTCCCAGCGTGTGCGCCAACTCTCTTCATAAGCCATGGCGGCGTTAACGCGGATGCCATCCATGGAGCTCGGTCTGGGTGGCGGCTACCCCAGCGCAAGGCTCCTCTCCGGCAGCCTGTGCGCCGTGCAGGGGCAACGAGCCTGGCCTCCGTTTGGCGAGGGGTCACACTCAGATTTGTTGACCTCCTGGAGTGCAGGAACTACGGCAACGCACCGCAACGGCATTCGTGAGGTCAGCTGTCGAAGTCCTTCTGGCGATAGCCATTCCGGACAGCTGCTCGGGCAACGCGCACTGACCGCAACCTGGATGGGGCCCCAGCAAATACCCAAATCACCAACAGGGCCTGCAGTGGACGCGTTCATCACCACATCTCTGTCAGAGAGGCTCCTTGCACTGGCGACCACCCCAGGCAGGCCGTCCGTCCCATGCAGCGGCCACGTCTGGTCCCTCCCGGAGCCGCCACACAAGGAGCTCTCGCCAAGGCCAAGTGTAAAACCGGGATGAGCCCAGAGCTCTGCGAGAAAGAATAGAGCTCAACATCACCCCGATCACCCTGCACAGCGGCACCGTGTCGTGCACGGCCAGGTTGAAGACCGCCCTGTGCACCGTGGGCTCGTGCAGCACGCCGAAGGTGGCGCTCCAGGGGCCGGTGCGGGCGAGGGAGGTCGGCAGGGGCCGCAGGTGCAGCGCGAGTTCCGTAACGTAGCTCAGCATGAACAGAAGGGGCAGCTGCGATGGTAGCCGCGTGCGCTGTCGAAGACTTCCTCGACCGCGAGTTGAACTACAGTCAAAACGTATAGTAAGGACGCGTGGTAAGGACGCAAGAAGACCCTTGGAGGCTGAAGTTGGGATTTTTTGGGCGGCGGCGACCAGTGAAAACGGCAAATGACGGGCCACAGAGGCAAGGACGCAAGGGTATCCTAGATGAAGGCGCGCGTCCTTACTAGGCGCGTTGACTGTACCCCATGCAGCGAAGCCCGCCGAAGAGAGGATCCCACCAGCCCTGGGGCCATAGTGTGGAATATGGAGTTTCCTCTTCCGCCCCGCTTGTTCCCCTTCGGGGAGGGGTTTACCCCTCCCCCCTCCCCCCTCCCCCTCGGGGAGGGGTTTTCAAAACGGCCTCGGCGAGGAAGCCAAAATCATTTGTCTTGCTACGGTTTTGGCCCCATTTTGGCCTCCTGGGGGGGGGGGGGAGGGGGGGCAACGCTAAAAACAACTCCCCTCTTCTTTGATCGATGTCCTACAGTCTGGCCCCAAGAAGCGCCCAGGAGGCCCCAAGAGGCCCCAGGATGGCCCCAAGATGGCCCCAAGAGGCCCGCAAGAGGCCCACAGGAGGCTCCCAAGAGGACCCCAAGCGGCCCCAAGAGGCCCCCCCGAGGCACCCAAGACGCCGAAGAGCCCCCCAGGACCGCCAAAAGACCCCCAAGACGTCCCAAGAGGCCACCAAGAAGCGCCCAAGAGATACCCCAAGAGGCTCCGAGAGGCATCCAAGAGACCTCTGGCCCTTTTGCTTGCCCTCCTCCTCCTGCTCCTCCTTCCTCCTCCTACTCCTTATCTTCATCGTCCTCCTCCTCCTCCTCCTCCTCCTCCTCCTCCTCTTCCTAGTCGTCCTCCTTCTCCCCACTCCCTCGTCCATCCATCCAGCCTCCTCTTTCTCCTCCTCCCTCGTTTGCACGATTCGGCCGTCACCGTCTTTGCTCCCGCACTTCCTCAACTCGCGTGGACATCGTTTCTGGATGGGCTGGTGGCGATACGCAAAGCGTCTAGACTTCTTTGAATGTCCGTCCATTCGAGTGGCGCGAGATGTGTATGCTTCGCTGAGTCCAATACGCGGCCCGCTTCCTTGAGCCAAAATGGCGACGGAGGGAAGGAGGAAAGGAGGAGGGGGCGGTGGAGGAGAAGGAGATCGTCGTCGTCGTCGTCGTCGTTCCTTGTAGTCGTTCGTCGGACGCAATCCGTCGTCGTCGTCGTCATGTCATCTTTGTCTTTGTCTTTGCCCTTGTCTGTGTCTTTGTCTTTGTCTTTGTCGTCGTCGTCGCCGCCACCGTGCTCGCTCGCTCGCGGCGCCGCAGAGGGCCCAGGCGGAGGGCATCGCCGTCGTCGTCGTCGTCGTCGCCGTCGCCTTCGCTGTCCGACAGGGCGCCCCCGCACAGCAGGAGCAGCAGCAGGCTCGTGCTCCACAGCGCGAGGGTGCTGGACACCTGGGCCGGGGCCGGGCCGTGGGCCCGGGGCCCCGAAGAAGACCGACACTATACAGTCGGGGCGTTGACCTGAGGAGCCCTAAATAAGGAGCGAGGCCCCTTTTTTCCATAAGTTAAACTTCGATTTCCGATCGGAAACATGAGGCAAGCTGTGAAACACTTAAGGAACGCGGAGCCCCTCCCCAACGAAAAGGGTTCCTTGTTCAGCGCCCCGACTGTATGTGGGGTCGAAAGATCCTGCCGCATCACCAATGCATCGCCAGTGCCTCGGCGACATATCGGCGATGCTTCGGCGATGCATCGGCGAGGCATCAGCGACGTCGGCGTTGGGAAACACGGGTCCCACATCGAGCCGCATGGTCGATGCATCGGCGATGCGGGGCAGCTCTCCGACCCCCTCCACTCGGACCCCATCTAAGAGGCCCAGAGACACCCCAAACCTTTCGGCCCTTTCCATGGGGCTGGGTTTTCCATCCCGAATCGTTTCTCGGTCGGTCCGGCCATGGCACCGAAACCGGCCTCACGAGGCTCAAAAGAGCGAAGACATGAACTTGTCACCTCGCTCTTTTCGACCCGCCCAGTGTCGGAAACCACCCCAAACCACACACCCCGGGCTTCCACTCGGCCGTGCGCCAGGACGCCCGTCAGCCGGTCGTGCCACATGGGCGCGTGGTCTGCGCGCTCCTCCAATGACAGGCTGGACCTTAGTTGATGTTCAAAGCGGGTTTCTCCCGATAGAATTTCAGGTGCTGGGTTTTCGACCAACCAATACAGAAATGACCGAATTAGAAACATGGGTTTTGGATCTGCTCAATGATTGAAAAAAGGCGTCAATCATTGACCACGCATTGAGCACCAAATCTGAAACTGGTAATTTCAATCCAGGACTTTCAGGACTGAGATCCGACGGCCCCCTTGTGGGGCCACCAACTGTAGGACGAAATTGTTGCTCCCTGCGCCAGTTGCAATTTCAAGTCTCAAGTGTTACCGTCCTGCTGTCTGCTTCCTGTTGTAAGTTTATGAAATCCGAAATCTGCGCGAAAGGGGGTGGGCCCAAAACCAATTTACCACGCCCAGATCACGTACTCTGAATTCTTGGGGGGGGCACGGGGCAAGTGAAAAAACTTTGAAATCCACGCCCCTGGGGCCATAACCCATCGAAAATTACAATGCTCGCGTCCCCGAGGCCACAAACCATTTTAACTAAAACACTTCTTGCGTCCCCGAAGCAACAAACCCTCGTAGATAGCATAATATTCGGGACCCCGAAGCCATCAATCTTTGCAGATTACGCCGTATTCGCATTGCCGAGACCAAAAGTGCTCCAAGGCATCCGAAGATGGTTCCAAGACCGCCCGGAGGGTCCAAACAGGCCCCAAGAGCGCTCGCAGAGGCCTCCCGAGAGAGCCCCAAGAGGCCAGCATCGTAATTTTGTGCAAAGAAGTATTTGAATGATTTGGGCCTTCTCGCATTTTTTGGCTTCCCGACGCTCCAAGATGGCTCAAGACGCTCCCACGACCGCCCGAGACGCCTCCAAGAGGGCCCCAAGACGGCCCAAGAGGGCTCCAAAATGGCCCAATAAGCTTTCCCCTTGTGCCCGGACAGAACACCTGGGCGACACAACCCGCAGGGAGGTGCCCAAGGTGCCTGCACGAATTCAGTGCAGTCGGACCTCGCAACATGAACGGCGGCACAGACCCGCCCCAGGCGTCACGTTTGCGTCGCCGTTGCGAAGCGCCTTGAGATGCCACCCCGAAACACGGCCACTGGCACCACCCCCACTTGGCGGCCGGCCTCAAGCAGCGGAGACCCAGCTGCCCAAGGACATCAGTTCCCACGCCCCCCACGTCGGGGGACCGCTTCGAATAACCCCTTATCAGGCCTCTCAGTAGTGGTACTGCGGAGGCGCACTTACTGTAGCTTAGCTGGCCAACCTCAGGGCAAGAATCTCTCCCACAGCCCCGTCGAGCTGTGGTGACGATCGGGCTGCCAACCCGCCTGTTTTCCTGGGGCGCCACGAAGGCACCCAGCGGCACAGGTGCAAGATGGCCCAAGAAGCGCTGAATTCGGCCCAAGAGGGCCACACGACGGCCCCAAGATGGGCCCAAGCAGGGGACCACGAACCGAACATTTCATATAGCCCCCAGGAGGCGCCGAGAGGCCGCCAAGAGGCCCCAAGAGGCCCCAAGAGGCGCCCAAGACGCGCCCACGATGCCTCCCAAAGGCATAGGAATACCCCACGAGGCCCCAAGAGGCCCCCAAAAGGCGTCCAGACCGCCTCCAAGAGGCCCTCTTGGGGCTCTCCACGACACCCCAACACAGACAGAAACAAAAGGCCTCAGACCCACAACTCGGGCACGGTGTCGGGATGGGTCGAATGCCACTCGGATGACGCCGACGTCTCAATATGCACTGATGATTCCTTTCCGCCCCCGCATGATGTTCCCAGATGCATGATGTTCCCAGATGCGCCATGGCAGCGCCGAGACGCACCGACGCGACTCTGATGTATCCCAAGCCCTTACGGATATTGAAAATGGGAGATTTGAATCCCGTCCTCCCCATACTGGATTGTTTAACGTAGCTTGGTCTGTTTAAGTGGGTTTTTAATAGTTCGGTTCTCGACCCGTGGCGCTCTTGGTTGGAAAATCTGTCAATTCTGAACCTGGGATTTCCGAGCTCTAGTGGGTCGCCGCGGGCAGGCATGCAGGACATTACATAGTGATCTCCAGGCAAGCACGCGGACACTTACAGGAGGGTGGGCCCTAACGGGGAGGGCGGTCCGGGTGGTCGGGACGAGCTGGGCGAGCAAGGCGAACAAATGTTCCCATCCATATCGTCAATATCACCGCCACCTCCCGCCAGCCTGACCCGGCCCAGCCGAGCAGAAGCGACAGGGCCGAACATTTCAATGTTCCACTCGCCTAACAAGCCTAAGTCTTCGCCCCAACTGTTTCGACTAGACTCCCTTAGGCCCTTACACATCAATGAACCGACCACCCCGCGCGCCCGCTCGCCGTTCCCGATTCGGCCGGCCGCATTCGATTGGGCTCCACATGCGTGCCTCCCGCCTGGCCCACCCGCCCTGCCCGCGGGCCCCGCGTCGCTCGACCACACTCGAGAAAGAGAGCCTGCACTTCAATGTCCCGCCCGGCCGACACGCCGCCCTCATGGGCTCCGCTGTTCCCGGCCACACGCGACAGAGGCCCGACTCTTTGATGTCCCGCCCGCCCAGCCCGCCCTGGCCCGCTGGCCCCGCGTCGCCCGACCACATTCGATCGTTAGCGGACAGTGGTTTCGATCCACCGACCTTTGAGTTATGAGCCCAACACGCTTCCACTGCGCCACTCCGCGCAGGCCGCCCAGGTGCTAGCTATGAAGGCGGAAGCGGCCGTGTTCGGGGACTCGGGGCAGAATTTGGTACTCAAAACAAATGCAATTCCGGACATCAAAAAATGTCTCAACAAAAAGATTGTCAGCCTGAGAAGGAACACGTGTTCTCCTCTTAAGCTGCAGAGTCCGACATCAACGTCTCAATGTCCCGCCCGCCCGGCCCACCCCTACCCCGTGGGCCCCGCGCCACAGAGAGTCCCACGCTGCCCCGCCCTGCCCCGCGGGTCCCGCCCGCCCGGCCCGCCTTACCCCGCCCAGCTGACCACGCGCGACACCGAGCCCCACACTTCCATGCCATTCCTAAGTCGCCTGGGTGTCTGTGCGGAATATCAAAGCAAACATCGCGCCCGCACTCGGTCTACGCTCGCCTGGGTGTCTGTGCGGAATATCAAATAAAACATCGCGTTCGAATTTTGTGTACGCAGAAGTACAAGAGTGCAAAAACAGAGGTGACACACAGCAAGGACGAGCTGGTGCTGAGCTGGAGCGGGGGGCGGCGAACTCACGCTTGCGCGACCCCAGGAATACAGATGGCCAGGCTTTATACGTATCAAGCCTGCTCTTTACATGGGCACACGTGAAAAGTAATGAGAACTGCGTCGTGTAAACACGAAATGTAAGTGAACTTGCACCGTGAACGGGTTGCAAACCACAGACAGCACGAATCAAATACAACACCCGCACTGTGAGCTTATACGTGTGCACGTAGCGCGCACATTGGAACACATCGGCGAACTTACATGTGCGTGTGTGTGTGTGCAAACAGTAAGCGCACCTTGAATATGTAAAATCATATGCAAGTAAAAACGTGTTGCAAAACTGATGTGCAATCAGCGGTACGCCAGCATTAACTAAGATCTGTCAGTCTGGATAGTTGATTTTGCGAAGTTGAAATGAAAGCGAATGCAAAGGCACAGGTACAAGCACTATGATTATCGCTCGTTCGCTGGTCCCTCTCCCATCGACGAGACCCGACAAATCCCCAACGTTCAGCCCGTCTGGCCGCAGCGCCCGTGGGCCCCGCGTCACCTTACCACACTCGCGAGAGAGAGAGAGAGAGAGTCCTACACTGCACGGTGCCACCACCCCACCCGACCCGACTTGCCCGCGGGCCCCACATTGTCGGACCACACGCGAGAAACAGAGAGAGAGAGAGAGAGAGAGAGCCCTGCCTTTAATGTCCCGCCCGCCCGACTCGCCCTACCCAATCAACTCCTCGTTGCCCGACCACGCACGAAAGGACCCGACGCTTTCATGTTCCGCCCGCCCGACACGCTTTGCCCGTTGACCCTGCTTCGACCGACCACACGCGACAAAAATCCTACACTTGAATGTCCCGCCCGAGCCGCCTCGTCCGTTGCTACCGCTCCACCCGACCGCACTCGAGACCTCCAACACTTGAATGTCTCGCCCGCCTGGCCCGGCGCGCCCGCGGGCCTGGCGTCGCCTGACCACTCGAGAGAGAGGGAGACAGAGGGAGAGAGAGGGAGCGATATATTCAGCATTTGGACAGACATCTCATTCTTTCCATTTTCAGTCCCCCGAGTGCGGGATTGAAATTTGTGGGGAGGAGGTGGGAGAGAGCAGCGGGCACAGAAACGAGGTCAGCATTGAGAAACATTGGCGAGGCTGCCTCGAACGAAGGGCCCGTTCGAGCACCCCGCGGGGATGCCGCCAGGGGGCGCCACACTTGCCCAGTCGCGGTTAGATTGTGGGGATATCCGGAGCGAGGCGCTCGTTTGGTGTGTTCCTCTGAGGGTTTTGAAGCATGACTTCGGGGTTTTGGAGACGTGATTCTCCCGAGGGTTTGTTGCCAGTACAGCCCTGACAGGCACCAGAGGCTCCCGAGCGCTCTGGGGCCTGAGCGGCATCTGGAGCCCGCGGAGCCTCTGGGACTAGTAGAGCCTGCGGTACCCCTGGGGCCCAGGACGCGTCCAGAACCCTCGGGAGAACCAAGCCATCAAACTCCTCAGGAAAGCCGCGAGTCCCAAACCCCCGCAGGAACCTCGCAGGGCCCCGCACTCCTGATCCTCGCAGGGCCCTGCCTTTCTTGCCTCGTCCGCCCGGCCCGCCCTGCCCGGCCGGACGCGAGAAGGCCCCCCACAGCTCTGTAGCTCATCTGCAGTTCGAGTTAAGATAAGAAAAGCATCATCATCTAAAAAATAGCAGTGTACGAATACTTTGTTGGTCCTAGCTCTGGTAGCAGACCGAGTTCGGACACACACTCTTTCAGATTCTGCCCGCCCGACCCGCTTGGCCCTGCTTGGCCCCGCCGAGAACGCCGGGTCCGCCCTGCCCTTTTCCCGCGGGGCCCTGCGCCGCCCGACCGCGCGCGCGAGAGCGAGAGAGAGAGAGAGAGAGAGCCCTGCGCGCTTCCGCGCCCTGCCCGCCCCCCGGCGCGCCCCTCGCCCCCGTTCGCCCCGCTCCGCCCGGCGGCGCGCGAGAGAGAGCCTTCGCACTCGCGCGTCCCGTGCCCCAATCCTTCTAGATACCTTTTCCTGGCGACAACTCAAGCCTGTATTGTTTGCGACGTCGCTGCGGTCTGGACCTACCAGCCCAGCTCCAATTCCAATAGATCTCTTTCAAATGCTATGGGATTTGATTATGAAATCTTCGGTTGGGTTGGAAGTGGAGTGTCCTAGGGGCCCGTTCCCCTGGCCCGCCCCGCTCCGCGGGCCTCCCTCTGCCCGACCACGCGCGAGGGGGAGAGAGAGTCCCGGGCTCGCATGCCCCGCCCGCCCGCCACGCCCCGTTCGCCCCGCTTCGCCCGGCCATGCTCTTACGTCGTGCGTGTCCCCCTACAGAAAGAGTTTGGGCGAAAACTAAGAAACACAAAAAAACAACCAAAATGATCAAACATAGTCAAAACATAATCCCCATACCGTTTTTTGGTTATATATTTATATATGTATATGTATATATATATATAAACAATGTTTGAATATCCCCCCTGTAGAGGGACAGGCCCGACTTAACCATACTCGAGATAGCCCCTTCACTTTACAGTTCCGCCCGCCAGGACCGCCGCGCCCGTGGGCCCCGCGTCGCCCGACCACACTCGAGAGAGAGAGATGTCTCGCCCGACTGCTCCGCCTCGCTCGATGGCCCCGCTCCGCCCGGCTACGCGCGATAGCGAGCCCAACGACTGAACGTCTCGCCCGCCCGACACGCCCTGCCCCGCTGGCCGCGCTTCGGCCGACCACACGCGATTGAGAACGTCCAACTTGAATGAAATGTCCCATCTCTCGACCTGCCCTGCTTCGTTGGCACCGCGACAGACTGGCCATCGCTCGGACGTCCATTTCCTGTGTTTTTTTCGGTTTCGTGCGTGGTTTTTTCGCGAAATGATCAAGGATGCTCCTCGATGGTCCTCGCCGAAGGAAAAGCGCACATATCCGAGAGATGCCAAGCAGAGATCCCACACCCACTTCAGTGCTCCGCGTCGCCTGCCTACGCTCCGGGCAGCCCTACGTACTCTATAGTGTCCCGCGGGGTCCGACCCGCCTCGTTCCGTGGCCCCGCTCCGCCCGGCCACGCTCGAGAGACCTCGGCACTCTCATGTCCGGTCCACCCGACCGGCCCTGCCACGTTGGCGTCTGCTTCGAGAACGCCCTACACTCCTCTGATGTCCCGCCCGCCCGACTTGCCCTGCTCCCTTCGCCCCGTGTCGCCCCACTGCGCTCGAGAGAGAGAGGCTCGACATGACACTTCAGTGTTCCGCCCGCCCGAACCCCGAACCCTGTCGCTCGTTAGTTCTGCTTCGCCTAAATCATACGCGGCAGAGAGCACACACTTGAATGCCCCGCCCGCCCGACCCGCTCCGCATCGTTGGCCCTGCCTCGGGAGAACCGTATTCTTTGATGTCCCGCTCGCCCGACTCGGCCCCCACCCCGACCCGCTCCAGAGGAAGACGTGAAACACGTGCGCCGAGATTAAGAATCTGAACGCTCAAACTGTCATTCAGGATCCCCCCGGATTGAAACATTGAGAAACACATTCAAAAAGAAACCCTGTTCAATGCGCGACACCAAGCTGGAACATTTCTAATTATTCAATGCTCAATCCGCAACCTTGGGATTGAGAATTTGAATGCTCAGTCTTTCTGTTGCTTCCAATCCGACTGTATGCTGCTTTGCAAGCTTCCGACCATTCCCTCTTCAATCCCACGCCGAAGCCGCACAAAACAGAAAACACACGGCAACACGACACGGAACCGAGCCGAAGGCAGCGCGAACGAGAGCCCCCCAAGACGGAAACGGCACGGACCCCCCAAGCGGAAACAGACGCGTCGATCTTGAATCAGGAAGGAAACAAACCTACAGACACAATCAATCGACGATCCCAAAGAAAATATAGGAAAATATGGGAATTGGGCGGGAAGACAAACACCCAGAAAGTCTGGGAAATTATAGGGAACCCTTTCATTTGTGTGTATTTATTTGTGTGTCCTTGGGCCCCTTCATTGAAGACGGAGAGAAAAATGCACCCGGGCGCTCTCGGCATCGCCTGGGGGCTGGGCCGCTCCAGCCAGTCGGTCTCGCTCCCGAAGGCCACGCCGAGCCGCCTCTCGTGGTTGAGCGCCGAGTCCAGCAGCACGCCCGACTGGCCCGATCGGCGGTGTCGGGAGTCCTGGGCAGGGCAGAGCCGCCGCCTCTGTCTCGCTCTTCGCCTCCTCCTCCTCCTCCTCCCCCTCCTCCTCCTCCTCCTCCTCCTCCTCCTCCTCCTCCTCCTCCTCCTCATCATCATCCTTCTCCCCCCTCCTCCTCCTCCTCCTCCTCCTCCTCCTCCTCCTCCTCCTCCTCCTTATCCTCCTACCCTTCTCCCCCTCATCCTCGTCATAGTCCTCCTCATCCTCCTCCTCGCTTCTCCTCGCTTCTCCTCCTCGCTCCTCCTCCTCCACCTCCTCCTCCTCCTCCTTCCCCCTCGCCCCAACACTGGCATGACGTGAGCGAAATGTCGTGAAGGGAAGTACGACGGTACGCTCGACGATGCTGCTCTCCGGCACGTGCCTGCCAGGAAGCAGCGGTGAGCAGCTCCCTCACCCGATGAGCTGGGTGGGCACGGCGGGGCCTCGGCTGGTGACCAGCTGGTGCCCGCCTCCTGGGCGCCCCGCAGCCGCCCGTGCGCATGGCTTCGGTGGGGTTTCGGCTGGCGGCCAAGTGGTGATCGCCCGTGGGCGCGTCGTGGGCGCCCCGTGGCCGCCCGTGGGCGCCCCGTGACCGCCGCAGGCCCCAAGCGCCCCGGGGGGACGCCCGTCGGCGCCGCGTGGGCGCCGCATAGCTTGCACCACATCGCTGAAACACTATATATATGTATGTATGTATATTTATATACACATATACATATACATATACATATATACATATATACATATATATATATATATATACATATATATATATTCTTCTCTTCGAAAAAAGAAGACCCCCCCTCGGGATTATCCGTTCCCCTCTTCGTATAATGCAACTCACATATGATGTTGCCCCGTCGCCCACCGTACATATGAGTCCACATCATCCCAGCCGAGCCGGTATCCCCCCCCGCCATCCTCTGCTCAAAATACTATGCGCGCACTCGTTTATCAAAAATCAGCAGTTTTCCATAATCCATTGCAAAAAAAACGAAGAGCACACGCGCGCGTTGTCGCGCGTGCATGCCGAAATCCTTCAAACATTCTCGGTTTCGCAAGGATTTCAAAATCAAATGACCAAGCAGCATATAAAGCACACATGGTTTCGCAACGCGGAGTTTCAAGCAACTTGCGCGCGCGCTCCTGCAAATTCTTAAGATTAGCATGGCGACACACCCAACCATCTGCGCTGTATGCACCGCATTCGGTAGAGCTCCTTACGGGGCGACCAAACGCGCGAAGGGGTGTGCCAAAATGGGTGCGGTGGGTGCATGCGAACGCTGGCACGTGGGTCTTCGGTGGGGCTCCCTACGGGGCTACCAAACGTGTGAGGGGCGTGACACATGGGTGCGGTGGGCGCATGCGAATGCTGGCATGTGGGCCTTCGGTGGGGCTCCCTATGGGGCCCCGAAGCGTGTGAGGGGCGTGCCAACATGTTTGCGGTGGGCGCATGCGAACGCTGGCTTTCGGGCCTTCGGTGGGGCTCCCATATGGGGCCCCGAAACGTGAGAAGGGGCGTACCACAATGGGTTCGGTGGGCGCATGCGAACGCTGGCATGTGGGTTTTCGGTGGGCTCCCTATGCGGCCACGAAGCTTGTGAGGGGCGTGCCAAAAATGTACGGGGTAGGCGCGTGCGAACGCTGGCCTTTGGGCCTTCGGTTGGGTTCCCTGTAGGACCACGAGACATGTGAAAAGGGTGTGCCAAAATGGGCGGGGCAGGCGCATGCGAGCGTTGGCATTTGGGCCTTCGGTGGGTCTACCTATGGGGCCCCGAAGCGTGTGAGGGGTGCGCCAAAATGGGCGCGGTGGGCGCATGCGAACACTGTCATGTGGGCTTTCGGTGGGGCGCCCTGTGGGGCGGTGTGACGGGCGTGCCCACATGGGTGCGGTGGGCGCGTGCGAACGCTGGCATTGGGTTTCCGGTGGGGCCCCCCATGGGCCCCCGAAGCGTGTGAGGGGCGTGCCAAAATGGGTGCGGTGGGCGCAAGCGAACGCTGGCTTTTGGGCCTTCGGTGGGGCTCCCTGTGGGGCCCCGAAGCGTATGAGGGGCAAGCCAACATGTTTGCGGTGGGCGCATGCGAACGCTGGCATGTGGGTTTTCGGTGGGGCTCCCCATGGGGCCCCGAAGCGTGTGACGGGTGTGCCAAAATGGGTACGGTGGGCGCGTGCAAACGCTGGCTTTCGGGCCTTCGGTTGGGTTCCCTGTAGGGCCACGAAACTTGTGAGGGGCGTGCCAAAATGGGTGCGGTGGTGGCTCCCTATGGGGCCACGGAGTGTGAACGGTGTGCCAAAATGAATGAGGTGGGCGCAGGCGAACGCAGACTTTTGGGCCTTCGGTAGGGCTCCCTATTGGGACACGAACCGTGTGAGGGGTGTGCCAACATATTTGAATGGTTCGGACGGCAAAAGCAAGCATCGGAAGAGGAAGGGGAGGGAGGAGGGGGCAGCGGGAGGAGGAGGAACGCGCGGCGCTGTCTTTTCAAAACGAGGACCCAACACCACAGGATGGTTGGGGAAAAACCGTAAGTTTCTGAAACGTTTTCAGAACATGCTACCAACCGGGCTCCGCGCGCACATGTCGAAATCGTTCGAACGCCCTTGCGCGCGTGCGGTCGAACAATTCCTTTGCACAACAAAAAACGAAATGCACGCGCGCGCGTCGTCGCGCGCGCATGCCGGAATCAGTCAAAAACCCCCAGCGTCGTAGCAATGTCAAAACCGAGTCCAAACCACATATTAAGAAAAAACATAGCTTCGTAACATCAGTCTTCAAAAATCGATGGCTCGCGCTCTTGCGAATTCTTAAGAACACCCTAGGCTTCTCAACGTGTCCATGAAATTCTGCCAAAAGCGCCTCTGGCGCCGCATGCCGACATCATTCGCACGCCCTGGTGCGCGTGCTACAGGGGGAACGATCCGTGTCAAATAATATCATGCGCTCGCATTTGGAATTCTTTCCAAACCTTCATCACCGACGCGAGGACGCCGTCATCGTCGTCGGCGTGATCAATATCGGCGCCCGCACTGGCCGCGCCGTCGTCGCTGTCAGCATTGCCGCCAGCATCGCTACTATCATCATCGTGTCTACCATTGTCGACGATGCCATTATACAGCGCCCGCCCAACTCGCCGACTCGCACTGAAATGCCCGCTGGAATGTGCCCAGCGGTCAGCGCCACCGCGGCCGCGTCGGTCGCGCCAAACAACCTGGTCGCTGCGCGCGCGCTTGTTCTGGCGCGGCTGCAGAAATGCACCAGCCAACTTCAAGCATGCATCGCAATCGCCACATCATGGGTTTTGCGAGCCAAGTTGCGGGTGGGTGGGTGCGACGTTTGCATGAGCATGGAATGTGTCAGTTCGTTTGTAAAAATCGAGGTCGCCGCATAGCTTGCACCGCATAACTCACAACACATCGCTCACAGCACGTACATTGCACCACATAACTTACATCACTTAGCTTACACTGCACAGCCTACATCGCACAGCCTACACCTACAGGACATAGCTTACACCGACGAGCTTTCACCACATAGCTCATACTACACAATTCACACTACATCGCTTACACCACGTAGCGTCACATAGCTTGCACCGTACAGCTCACATCGCATAGCTGACACTGCATAGTATCCTGTTGCATAGCTTATGCCGCATAACTTACACAACATAGCGTACACCGCATAGCTTACGCCGCACAGTTCCCACCACATAGTTCACACCACCTGTCCGCAGCCTGCGCCCTCGCGCTCTCCCGCCTCCACCTCCTTCCCCTCCTCCACATCCTCCTGCTCTCCTTCTTCTTGTTCGTCCTCCTCCTCCTCCTGCTCCTCCTCCTCCCCTTCTCCTCCCCTTCTTCATCCTCACCCTCCATCATCCCATCATTCCGGCTGCTGTCCCTCCTTCTCCTACTCCTGCTCCAGGTGGGATCCTGCTGCAGGAAGGAAGAACTTCCATGCCCGCTCTCGCCCCTCGCCCTGCCACAAGCTCCCCTGGCCACCTCCTCGCCTTGAGGGGGAGAGGGTCTCGTCAGCCCCGCCGGGGGCTACACTTCACCGCCTGGAGGAGGAGGATGAGGAGGACAAAGCAATGCAAGACAAACGGCGTCCTGGGACCTGATGTCTGAGCCAGTGAAAACTCTCGACTACGTGGGATAAGGATGCAAAGGCTCAACCTCTGAAGAAATGGAGGGGAGGAGGAGGAAGAAGGAGTGGGAAGATGAGAGAGGTCAACCAATCGCACTGAGGTCCTTCACGCGGACGCGGTCCCCGGCGCCGACGTGGTAGCGCAACCGGTATGCCAGGAGGCACATCGCCATGCTCGGCAGAGGCTTTCGCCTCGCCGTGGTGGACGGTGCGGGCGTCGTCAGGGGGACAACCGTCGGAGTCCTTTGCATCGCGCCGCAGCAACCGAAGCCTCTTTCCCGGCGAGTCCTCAGCTGCATGCTCCGGTCCAAGTTCTCCTCCCTGTACCACCGGGCGTGCAGCTTCTTGTGGATGACGAGCAGCGCCACGACGCAGCGGTCCCAATGGAACCAGAGAGTCAACATCTCCTGGGGCGGGCCCGAAAAAGGTCGAGCAAGGCCCCGCTACCACTCTGGTCTCTCGCCGATCCCGTATTACCACGAGGGGGCGTGGTCTGCTGTTTCCATTCGCGGTGCCTCGAGCGAAAACCGCACGAGGCCAAACAAACCTTCCGAAATCGCTTGTGTCCATGCCACCCAGAAGGCCCCCAAATCGGATAGAAGCACTGTCGCCCACCATTGCACAAGGCATCAACAACTAGTCAAATTGAGCAAGAGCTTCGATCGAGTCGAGTCGGGCCGTATGCGCGAGGAACTTAACTGTGGGGAGATAGAGAAGAAAAATCCGCCGACCCTGTCGGCGTGTGGACGACGCTCTTCCGTTCGTCGTCGTCGTCGCCGTCGTCGCTCCCCTCCTTTCGCCCTCCTCCTCAAGCGCGCCAGCCAAAGCGAAATTAAGCACGTCGTAGGCAAGCAAATCCCCTTCCCTTGGATCCCTTCCCCGCTGGGGGGGGGTCCTGGATGGGGGTCCTGCGGGGCTGCAGGCCCCAAAGAACACCCAATTGCCCCAAAAAGCGTCCATGAATTTCTCAAACGCTCCCGGGAAGCCCTCGAGAGGCCAAAAACATAGCAAAAACACGCGTGAAGGAGAAACGAGGTGGAGGGACGAGAGAAACGACCGCACCAGGGAGGATGGAGGGAGAGAGGAAGAAGAAGGACGTGGAACGGGCGACGCAGGAGAACCAAGAGCAAGGGAGAGATCAAGGAGAACGGACAGCGAGGGGTGGGGGAGACGGAAACGCATGAACATGAAGGAGGCGGAGAGATGAAGGCGTGACGGAAAGACAAAGAGGGAGCCGGAACAATGACGCAACGGGAAGGATGGAGGAGGAGACACAGGAGAAGGATGTGGAACGGGATACGGAGGAATACCAAGAGCAGGAACACGAGAGAGCGGAGGAGAACGGAGAGCGAGGGATGGGGACAACTGCGACGCACTCTGGGGCACGCCAAAGCCTGGGACAAGAGGACACAGGGGAAGGTGGACCTTGAACAGAATATTTGAGGGACTTTTTTTGTCAAGGTGGGTCTCCTACCACATAGTGGAGCAGGATGCTGGGCGAGGGAGGTGGAGGGAGGAATGAGTGACGGAGAGATGAAGATGGGGGATGGGGGCGACGGAATCGCACGAGGGAGGCGGAGAGAGGATGGCGTGAAGGCGAGACGTGGAGGAGGGAGGAGGGAACATGACGCAGCGGGGGGGAGGGAGAAGGAGACAAAGAAGAATAATGTGGAGCGGGATACGCAGGAGAACCAAGAACAGGAGAGAGAGAGAGAGAGAGAGAGAGAGAGAGCAGGGAAAACGGACAGCGAGGGATGGGGGAAGCTTGAGCGAACTCTGGGGCATGTCGAAGTCTGGGACAGGAGGGAACGGATGGCGGGCGTCGACCTTGAACAAAAAAGGGTTTGAGGGAATTCCCCTTATTTTCATGTTTGCTCTAGAGGCCCCAAAGAGCACCCAAATTTGCCCCAAGAGGCCTCCAAGAGTCGTCCGCCAGGAGCTCCAGGGAAGCCCTCGAAAAGGCCAGACTTTCCGCCTGCAGTGCGCTTCCGAGGCTTGCGCATGCCCCCAAGACCCGTTCGGAGCGCCTGTTGACGGCATCTTGGAGCTCTCTTGGGGGCCTCGTGGGAGCTATTGGGGGCCTCTCGTGGCCCTCTTCGGCGCTGGGTAAGTACCTCTGGGACGATTCCGTGGAGCTCGTCGGGGCCTGCTCGGGGCGTCTTTGGGGTCTCGGCGGTGCCCCTTCGGGCGTCATGGGAACCTCCTGTCGCCTCTTGAGGCCGCTTTTGGAGGCCTAGAAATGGGCACCAACACCAACACAGGGGGTTGCCTCCACAGGGGGGAGACGATCCTCGATTTCGGTGTTGGTGGCACTATTTTGGCCACCTTGGAAGCCAGAATATTACCACCATCACCGAGATAGGGATCTTCCTCCCTCGGTGGATGCACACCGCCGAAATTGGTGTTGGTGTCAATCTCTAGGCCTGCGACGCTTCGCGCCGCTCGGGACGCCTCCTGGGGGCATCTTGGAGCTCTCTTAGGGGGCATGCGCAAACCTCGGAAGAGCATAGAAGGCGGAAGTGGGAGAAACCACAGCCGCATACATTGTCATTCAGTTTTTCTAGGATTTGGGCCTCTCGAGGGCTTCCGGGGAGCTCTTAGGGGACTCTTGCAAACCTCTTGGGGCGACCTTGACTGCTCTTGGGGGCTTCCAGAACCATTTGGGAGCCGGCTTTGGCAGCCTTGGAGCACTCTTGGGCTGTCTCGGGGGCGTCCTGGACCGTCTTGAAATCTTCGGGGGGGCTCTCGTGGGCGCATGAAGGAGGAGGGGATGGTACTGGGCATTTGCTGCCAACGGTGGCGAACTTGGAGGTGCCCCGGGGAGGGAAGGCCGGTATTTGTTCATGTATGCATGCATGCATGCATGCTTGCATGTATGCATGTATGCACGTTTGCATGCATACATGTATGCATGTTCGCATGTATGCCTGTATGCCTGTCTGCATGCATGAACACCAGTCTCTCTGCTTGTCTGTCTGCATGTCTGTCTGTTTGTCTGTCTGCCTGTCTGTCTGTATGTACGTTTGTTTGTTCCTGCCTATATGTGTATGTATGCATGCATGCAGTTATGGATGTATGCTTATATGCATGTATGTATGTTTGGATGTATGCACATGTACGGATGAATGTATGACTGTATGACCATAAGCATGTATGTATGTATGGATGCAGGTATGTATGTTCGCATGGATGTGTGTATGTATGTTTGTATGTATGTAAGTGTACATGCATGTTTGTCAATGTATGCATACATGTGTGTATGGATGTGTGCCTGCATGCATGTATGCATGTGTGCATGCATGTATACATGCATGCATGGATGTACGTATGTATGCACGCATGCATGCATGGATATGTGCATGCATGCATGCATGCATGCATGCATGTATGTGTGTATGTGTACATATCTGCATGTGTGTATGCATGCATGTATGTATGTATGCATGTATGCATGCATGCATGTATGTATGTATGCATGTATGTATGTATGTATGTTGTATGCATGTATGTGTGCATGCATGTATGTGTACATGTACGTGTATGTATGTATGTATGTATGTATGTATGCATGCATGCATGTATGTATATGTATATGTATGTGTGTATGTGTGTATATGTGTATGTATTTATGTATGTATACATGTATGCATGTATGTATGTATGTATGTATGTATGTATGTATGTATGTATGTGAGCATATGTATGTAAACGTATGTATGTATGTTTCAATATGAATATATATATATATACATATATATGTATACGTGTATGTATGTAGGTGTGTATGTATGTATGTATGTATGTATGTATGTATGTATGTATGTAGAATAGTTGCCTGCGTGCATGTCTGCATGCACGTATGCATGTATGGTTGTATGTATGGTTTCATGTATACATGCATGCACGTATGTAAACTTGTACACGTGCAGGTGTGTATGTATGTATGCATGTAAATGTGCGTCTGTGTATGTGTATGCGTATACGTGTGTTTTGTCCCCGTGGGATGTTCTGCCTCGGCCGTCTCGGCACGGGCAGACTCTTGGTGAGACCAGCGGCGCATGCGATGATGCTGGCAGCTGACATCGATGCCGCAGGCCTGGCAGGACCTGCCGCCCCCGAAGACCAGCTCGCCTGATTGCATCCTGGGCCCAGGAATCTCGGCCGAGGTAATCCATGATAGCTGATAGCCTCTGCGGTGATCGGCTAGCCATGCGGTTGAGGAAGGCCCTGCCAGGCCACAGCTGAGAGATCCCGAGGTCCCTGGCGGCCGCCCAGGCTGAAAGCTCGACAAACCCCAGGCGGCTACAAATTAGCATACTGAAGCAGCTCGGGGCCACCCTTCGAAGGTCCCACGGCTCCCCTAGGCGGACCTGGCAGACAGCAAATGGCGGCCAGCTCCACGGGAGATGGCGGAGCGTGGCCAGCGTAGCTGAAGCACGACCTCTTATACTGCGCCAGAAACTTCACGCGCGGATTTCATCAACTCCTCGCGCCAGCCTTCCAACGCAACCGACGCCCATTTGATCAGGGGCCGTGTGCAAGCATCCGCCAAGGGGTCAAACTTCAAAATCCAGAGACGGAGGGCCCACAAGGGCGCTGGCCATCAAAACTCGGGCCCGATTGAATCAAGAGGGGTCCAGGCCCAGACACGCCGCAACGTTCACGACTGACGGCATGAAACCCACTCCAGCAACCTTACAAACAGAAGAGGCCGAGCCCCTTGCTTGGCTAAGCGAGCGAGTTTCTGCTTGCGACGGCGGGCGCTGGCTATGAAGGGGCCCACAAACACACAAATCAATACACACAAATAACAGTGTTCCCCATATGTTTCCATATGTTCGGGTTTTTTGTCTTCCCCCCCACTTCCCACATGTTCCCATATTTTCCTGGGGGTCGACGATTAATTGTGTCTATGTGTGTGTGTGTGTATGTGTTTGCCCTCCTGAGGCCAGACGCTCATCGAACCGACGTCTGACCTAGGCGGGGGCCCCTCCCGCTGAGTCGAGCCCCAGCCACGAGCTGTGGCCCTGGACCTCCGACCCGAGCAGCGGGGTCCAGCCCCGTACTCGAACCCGGGGGCTAGCCGGGAGACAGGGTGCGCTTTTTCCCCTGGGGGGACCACCAGGCACGTCCCTGGAGACTGGGATCCCCCTGGCTTCCATGGCCCCGACTTGCAGGGAGATGCCATCACACATCTGAGCTGAGACCTCCTCTTCCGACCCTCTGGCCTGGAGGCTGAGATCCTCAACACATAGAGCTTGAGGAACAGAGTTGGCCACAAACGAAACAGATGATCGGAGAAGGAAAAGGAGGCAGGAGGGAAGGGGAATGGGGGAGGAGGGACGAGGAGTGTATGAAGCGTGGGAGGCGAGGACGAGGAGTGTATGAAGCGTGGGAGGGTGAGAGGATCGGAAGAAGGATGAGGAGGACGGGGAGGATCGAGGAGGAGAGGGGGAAGACCAACAAAAGACAAGAGAGAGGCGGCGGCGCGGGCGGGCGGGCGGGCGACCGGGCCGGCAAGCGTGCGGGCGGGCGTGCCTTTCGTCTCCACTGTTGGGTCATTCTGGCTGTTGGAGTGTACGGCGTCCGAGGAGGAGGATGAGGATGAGGAGGAGGAGGAGGAGGAGGAGGAGGAGGAGGAGGAGGAGGAGGAGGACGAGGAGGGGGAGGAGGAGGAGGAGGAGGAGGAGGAGGAGGAGGAGGAGGATAATCTTGAAAAGGAGGGGGTGGAGGACCATGAGCAGGAACATGAAGGGCAGGTACATACTGAGGATGACGGCGCGGAAAATGATGATGGTCGAACAGGAGGGTGAGGAGGAAGACGAGGAGGAAGAGGAGGAGAAGCAGGAACAGGATCAGGAGAATAAGGAATATAACGATAGCGAGGATGACGATGTGAGGTAGGATGTGGAGGATGCTGAAGAAAGGAGCTCCGTAGGACGAAATCTGCACTCGTAATTTGGCCCTGGTGTCCCCACGAAAGACCACGGGCAAATGCACCAACAGGAGCACCAGCAACTGGTACCCGGACAGGGCGAACTGCGCAAAGGCGCTGGCGAGCAGCAGCACGTCGCAGCATTCCCGCATGGGCTCTTGCGGCCTCACCCGCAGGACTGCCCCTTGCAGGTGGCTCGCCTGGGACTGGAACGCGACAGAGTGGTGCGGTAAGGCAGAGGACATGACGGGAACGAGGCGGGCGAAAAGGGCGGAGGGTGTGGAATAGCCAGGAAAGGAACACTACGAAGAGAAACGCGATGGTGGTGATCTTCTTTGGGGCCTGATGGTATTACTGAAACCACTGGCCTTGCTCACTCCGTGGCCTCATCCACGGGGGGCCGGGGCGGGGGGGCCAAGGTGGGGGAGACGCTACGAACGGACGACGGCTATGGGACGTAGGAGAACAAAAAGGACCCTCAGGGAAAGTGGACCATGTGAGCCTCACTGCCAGCCCCGAACGGGACCGGGGCAATGAGGAAGAGGAGGGCAAGTCCCCAATGAGCGCAGACCCCGTGAAAGACCTGCGCAGAAACGCTTCTCCCCCCATGGCGCACCCGTGTGTCGCTGTTGGGTCGCGGGTGGGTCGCGGATGGGTCGCTGGCGGGTCGCGGGGTGGGTCGCGGGCGGAATCGCGGGGCGGACGGCGCCAAACGAAAGCAATCAACAAACAACAACCAACAACCAACAAGCAACAACAAACACAACAACAGCAAACACCAACACCGACAACAACACCAACAACAACATCAACAATCAGTTTAAGACTGTTCGCCCTTATCTGCTCGAGTGTCCAATAACGCGTACTTCCCAAACCCTCGATACCCGCCCTCTTCGTCTTTGATCGAACCCCTCTTGGGGGTATACCTTTCTTCCATGCAGGCCGGGCCCCGGCAAGTGGTGGGGCGGCCGCGGACCGTCGGCCTGGCCAGCGGAAGCGCTGATCGGCGGGGCGGCCGCGGACCGTCGACCCGACCCCAAGAGGGACGGACAGGGGACCGACCACGACGACGACGACGTCGACGACGACGGCGACGACGACGGCGACGACGAGCGAAAGCGAGAGCGAGAGAGAACGACAGATGGGCCACGAAGGACACGAAGTAGGCCACGAAGGGCGACAGCGGGGACACGAAGGGAACGCGTATGGGGCCACGAAGAGCGCGAACGAGCGGGGGCAACGAAGGGCAGATAATGCGGGGCCACAGAAGGCAACGACGGGGCCACTGAGGGTAGCAACTGGGCCACGTAGGACAATGAGGGGGCCACAAACGGCGACAGCGGGGCCACGAAGGGCATGCACATGGGGCCACAACGGGTGCGACTCCTGGGTGCTTGGGTGTCGGGAGCGCGGCGCTTGAGCAAATTGCAAGATATTCCCTAGCAAGGGCGCTATTCTTTTGTAAGTTGCAAGCAAGTCTCCAGCGAGAGCGCGACTCCAGAGCGCCAGGAGAGCGATTCCTGAATACATTGTAAGGAAGTCCCAAGCGAGAGCGCGATTCCTGAATAACATGCGAGGAAGTCTCGGGCGGGAGCGGGGGTCCTGGCTAAATTGGAAGGAAGTCTTAGGCGGGAGCCGTTGTTGTTGTAACCCGGTGGCCAGGGGCCCAGTTTGAGCATCAAGACTTTCCTTGACAAAAAAACAAAGTGCGAGCGTCGAGGGGCACATGTTGATTGGGAAAAAAAACAGTATGCACCGGTGGGGGGGATCAACAATAATAATTCTTTTGAAATGAGAATTCAACAACACCAACACCAACACCAACACCAGCAACAATCATCATTTTAAGACTGCTCGCTCTTATCTGTTCGAGCGTAATTCAATGTGTATGTCTCAAACCTTCGATGCCCGCCCTCTTCGTTTTCGATCGTGCCCGTTTTGGGGGGTAGATCTTTCTTCCCTGCAGGCCGGGCCCCGGCAAGCGGCGGGGCGACCGCGGACCGTCGGCCTGGCCAGCGGCAGCGCTGATCGGCGGCAACCCGACCCCAAGAGGGACGGACAGGGGACCGACCACGACGACGACGACGACGACGACGACGACGACGACGACGACGACGACGACGAGTGCGACGACGACGACGACGACGACGAGCGAAAGCGAGAGGGAGAGCGGGGCCACGAAGGGCAGGATGGGGGCCACGAAGGGCGACACCGTGGCCACGAAGGCCATGCGTATGGGGCCACGAAGGGCGCGAACGAGCGGGGGCCACGAAGGGCGGATGATGCAGGGCCACAGATGGCAACGACGGGGCCACTAAGGCAGCAATGGGGCCACGTAGGACAGCGAGGGGGTCACGAAGGGCGACGCCGGGGCCACGAAGGGCATACGTGTGTGGCTACGACGAGCGCGAACGAGCGGAGGCCACCAAGTGCATGCGAATATTGGGCCACTGAAGGCAGCAACGGGGCCACGACGGGCAGCGAAGGGGCCACGAAGGGCGACAGCGGGGCCACGAAACGCATGCATATGGGGCCACGACGGGCGCGAACGAGCGGGGGCCACGAAGGGCATACATACATTGTGCCGCGAAGGGCAGCAAGAGGGCCACGAAGGGCTGCAACGGGTCCACGAAGGGCGACGCCGGGGCCACGAAAGGGTGCAACGGGGCCACGACAGGCAGCGAGAGGGCAACGAAGGGCTGCAACGGGGCCACGAAGGGCAGGGGGCCACGAAGGGCTGCAACGGGGACACGAGGGCTGCAACGGGGGGGGGCCACGAAGAGCTGCAACGGGTCCACGAAGGGCAGCGAGGGGGCCACGACGGGCTGCAACGGCGGGAGCGGGGGTTTTGGCAAAGCTGTCAGGAGGTCTCATGCGGGAGCCGTTGCTGTTGTAATTCGGGGCCAACAGGGCAGTGTGAGCGCAGTGACTTTCCCTGATAGAGAGTAAAAAACCAAGGTGCGAGCCCAGGGGGAAACACACTTCAATTGAAAAACACAATGGTCACCGGAGTGGGGGGATCAATTTAAGTACTCTTCAATATTGAAAATCCAATAACAACACCACCATCAACAGCAAACATAGCAACAATAATCAGTTTAAGACTGTTCACTCTGATCTGCTTGCGTGCCATTCAATACGTATATCCCAAACCCTCGATACCCGCCCTCCTCGTCTTCGATCGTGCCCCCCTGGGGGTATATGTTTCTTACGAGCAACGCGCGTTACATGCAGCCCCCAAGGCAAGGGAAGAAAGGACGGATGGAAGGAAGAGACACGGGGGAGGGAGGATGGAGCACGAAAGAAACTAGAAGGATGGGTTAAGAGCAGAAAATACGTGGCAGAGCCAGACGGGCAGATCGGGCGGGTAGACCGTAGCGGGCGGGTCGGGAAGGCGCGCTTGGGGCCTCTGTGGGCTGGGGCCTGTGTGGGCTGCGTTGAGGGCCTCAGTGGGCAGCGCGCTGGGGCCTCCGTGGGCGCGCTTGAGGCCTCTGTAGGCTGGGGCCTCTGTGGGCTGCGTTGGGGGGGCCTCAGTGGGCAGCGCGCTCGGGCCCCTGTGGGCGCGTTTGGGGCCTCTGCGGGCTTCGTCGCGGGCCGTCGGGGGCAGCGCGCCGGGGCCTCTTTGGGCGCGCTGGGGGCCTCTGTGGGCTGTGCTGGAGGGCCTGCGGGCAGCATGCTACAGATTCTGTAGGCTTACTCTGGGCCTCTGTGGGTTGCGTCGGGGGCCTCAGTGGGCAGCGCGCCAGGGCATCTGTGGGCGCGCTTGGGGCCTACGTGGGCTGGGGTCCCTGCTGGCGCGCTTGGGGCCTATGCGGGCTGTGTCCGAAGGCCTCAGTGTGCAGCGTGCTGGAGCTTCTGTGGGTGCGCTGGGGCCTCTGTGGGCTGCGTCCAAGGGTCTCAGTGGACAGCGTGCTACGGCCCCTGTGCGCGCGCTTGGAGCTTCTGTGGGCTGCGTCTGAAGGCCTCAGTGGCCAGCGTGCTGGGGCCTCTGTGGTTCGGGAGCCTCTCTGGTCAGGGCGTTTAGTAGTGAATTGCGAGGGCGTGTCGAGCAGAAGCTTCTGTCGTCGCAGGTGGGCCTCGGGCGCCGCTACTGAGGTGCAGTCTTAGGCCACGGGGTCTCGAAGTACAGCTTGAGGACGTATCGAACGGGAGCCCTTGTCGTCGTGGCTGGGCCTCCATCAACTTGACTGCATTTTGGGAAATTCTCGAACGAGAGCGCCGTTCCTGAGTTCGAAGGCCTCTCTGGCGGGGGATCTCGGACTAAATTTTGAGAATTGTCAAGCGGAAGCCCTTGTCGCCGTGTCTGGGCCTCCACCAACTTGCCTACGAAACCATTTAGAACGAGAGCCGTTCGTGAGTTCGGGGGCATCCCTGGCCAGGGGCTCTCGAAGTGAATCGTGAGGAAATATCGAGCGGGAGCCTTTGTTATCGTGGCTGGGCCTCCGCCGACTTGACTGGATTCCGGAGTCTCAAGCGAGAGCGCCGTTCCTGAGTTCGAGGGTCTCTCTGGCCAGGGTGTCTCGGGGTATATTGTATGGAAGTATCGAGCGGGAGCACTTGTCGTCGTGGCTGGGCCTCCGCCGACTTGATTGAATTGCAAAGAAGTCTCAAGCGAGAGCGCCGTTCCTCAGTGGGCCTCAGTGGGCACAACGCTGGGGCCTCCGTGGGCGCGCTTGGAACCTCTGTGGGCTGGGACCTCTGTGGGCGGCATCGGGGGGCCTCAATGGGCAGCGCGCTGGGGTCCCTGTGGGCGCGCTTGGGGCCTCTGTGGGCGCGCTTGGGGCCTCTGTGGGATGGAGCCTCTGTGGTCGCGCTTGTGGCCTCTGCAGGCTTCGTCGGGGGCCGTCGAGGGCAGCGCGCCAGGGACTCTTTGGGCGCGCTTAGGGCCTCTGTGGGTTGGGTTTCTGTGTGCAGCGCTTGGGGCCTCTGCGGGCTGTGTCGGGTGGCCTCAGTGGGCAGCGCGCTGGGGCCTCCGTGGGCGCGCTCGGCGACCCTGTGAGCTGGGGCATCTGTGGGCGGTGTCGAGGGCCTCAGTGGACACGCTGAAGCATCTGTGACCGCGCTTGGAGCCTCTGTGGCCTGGGGCCTCTGTGGGCGCGCTTGGGGCATGGGTGGGCTGTGTCGGGGGGGCCTTATTGGGCAGCGCGGTGGGGCCTCCGTGGACGCGCTTGACCCCTGTGGGCTGGAGCTTTTGTGGGCTGCGTCGGGGGCCCCGGTGTGCTGTGTCAGGAAGTCTCAGTGGGCAGCGCGCTGGGGCCTCCGTGGGCGCGCTTGAGGCCTTTGTAGGCTGGGGCCTCTGTGGGCTGCGTTGGGGGGGCCTCAGTGGGCAGCGCGGTGGGGCCTGTAGGCGCGCTTGGGGCCACTGTGGGTTGGGGTCTGTGGGCGCGCTTGGGCCTCGGTGGGCTATGTGGGGAGCCTCATTGGGCAGCGCGCTGGGGCCTCTTTGGGCGCGCTTGGGGCCGCTGTGTGGCAAGGCCTCTGCGGGCGCGCTTGGGGCCTCTGTGGGCTGTGTCGGGTGGCCTCAGTGGGCAGCGCGCTGGGGCCTCCGTGGGCGCGCTTGGGGCCTCTGTGGGCTGAGGCCTCCGTGGGCGCGCTTGGGGCCTCTGTAGGCTGTGTTTTGTGGCCTCAGTGGGCAGCGCGCGGGGGCCTCCGTGGGCGCGCTCGGGGCCTCTGTGGGCTGGGGCCTCTGTGGGCATCGCTTCTGGCCTCGGTGGGCTGCGTCGGGGGGCCCCAGTGGGCAGCGCGCTGGGGCCCCTGCGGGCGCGCTTGGGGCCTGTGTGGGCTGCGGCCTCTGCGGGCGCGCTTGGGGCCTCTGTGGGCTGTTTTGGGGGGGTGTCAGTGGGCACCGCGTGGGCACGCTTGGGGACTCTGTGGGTTTGGGCCTCTGCTGGCGCTTTGGACCTCTGCGGGCTGCGCCGAGGGGCCTCAGTGGGCAGCGCGCTGGGGCCTCCGTGGGCGCGCTTGGTGCCTCTGTGGACTGCGGCCTCTGGGAGCTGTGTCGGGGGGCCTCAGTGGGCAGCGCGCTGGGGCCTCTGTGGGTTCGGGGCCTGCGTGGGCAGCGTTCGGGGCCTCTGTGGGCAGTATTGGGGGGCGTGGGCGGCGCGCGGGGGCCTCCGTGGGCACGCTTGGCGCCTCTGTGGGCTGGGGCCGCTGTGGGCGCGCTTGGGGCCTCTGTGGGCTGTGTCGGGGGGCCTCACTGGGCAGCACACCACCACCACCACCACCACCACCACCACCACCACCACCACCACCACCACCAACAACAACAACAACAACAACAACAACAACAACATCATCATCATCATCATCATCATCATCATCATCATCATCATCATCATCATCACCATCATCACCATCATCATCATCATCATCAGCATCATCATCATCATCATCATCATCAGCATCAGCATCAGCATCAGCATCATCATCATCATCATCATCATCATCTCATCATCATCATCAACAACACCAACACCAACACCAACACCAACACCAACAACAACAACAACAATAATAACAAGAACAACAATAATCCGCATCGCGAAATCCCAGTTCAGCCACGCGCCCAGGGACAATGGATGACCAGCGGCCCCCTCAATCTGACTTATTTCTATATGTGCGCACCGAGGCATCACCAAAGCCGGCCGTGCGGATGAGGACGACGATGGACGTGCCAGCCGATGACGACGACGACGGCAATCGTCAGTTTGATCGCCTTCCCTCTCCACCTCGTGCCAATACATCCCCATCAGTCGTGGACACCCCCACGAGAATCATGCTGACAGACGCAGCCTCCCTAACACCCATTGTCAACCTACCATAGTCGTGGGGGCTAGACTCGGGCGTTGGCAAAACTGGGTTCCTCGTCCTCGTCCTGCTGCCCTTCCTCACTCCCTCTCCTCTTCCGCCCAAGCTCGTGACCAGCCCCCAAAGGCCTAATACATTCCCAGACGGCCGCGAGGCCCACAACCTTGCAGATGGCTCGTTCACCCGCCCGTCGCCGAGAGCATTGTGGAGACGGGTCTGTCCAGCACGGGAGGCCGGACGTGCTCGTTGTCAAGGAAGAACTTCGCCTCCACGCCAGGGCGACAGTCGTCCTGGCGGGTCCCAGAGATCTCGTCGTCGTCGTGCCCTTCGCGCTCGCAGCGCGTCGCCCTAACGCACAATCGAAAAGACCAAGGCGCCCAGGGGCTCCCTCCAAGCCTGGGATCGGCGGCTCAAGCTCTATACCGGCGGCTGCGGACAATCGAGTCGGCGGCCCACAAACCTCCTACGTAGACTAACCCTTGGGGCTGTGATGCTGCCATTCGCACGCGACGCTTCTCGGCCGCACCTCCTCCCCCTCCCCCTCCCCCTCCTCCTCCTCCTCCTCCTCCTCCTTCTCCTCCTCACAAGTCCTCTCCCCCCTCTCCAGCTCCCCTCCTTCTCCCGACCCTCATTCACCCTCCCCCCCTCCCTCCTCCTCCTCCTCCTCCTCCTCCTCCTCCTCCTCCTCCTCCTCCTTCCGCTCCTCCTCCTCCTCCTCCTCCTCCTCTTCATCCTCTTGTTATTTCTTCTTATTCAGCTTCCTTCACTCCCTCATCCTGGAATTCCGGCTCGGAGCTTCCCTGGTTAGCCGAGGGACTCAGAGGGTCGTTCACAGTCGCACAGGCAGGACTGGACACCGCCCAATGGCAGGGCGTACTTCGAAGAAGTATTGAGGCTCTCAGCGCCCCAGGCTTTGGTCTCGCACGCGAACACATCCCAGAACACCTGGACTCTCTGGACTCTTTGGACGGGCAGTGCCCGGGAGGCGTGCTCTGGAAACGATACAGGCCGCGGGCCCACGAGTGCAGCTGTCGCGTGCGGCGGCGTGCCCCGAGGAGCTCACGGTGACCCTCTTCGGAATCGCAAACGAAGCCGCGCTTTGGACGGGAGAATTCCGCGCACGCACTCGGCCGGCGCATCCGCCACCGTCCCTTCAGCATGCAGCGGAGCGCTCCAAGGCTCACGCAGCCCCTGAGAGGTAGAGGGTGTGCAGCGTCCTCAAGGGGGCAGACCCCGGGTTTCCCCGGGCGCTCCTGGGTGCTCTGGGGCGCAGTTGGGGCTTCTCGCGTGGGCCTCCTGGACGGTCCCCTCGCCCAGGAGGGCCCCCAAACGATTCTTCGAGAGGCCCGGGGCACGGTGTTCGGGACATGCACGTCCAGCATGGTTGCAGACGGCCCTGGGGACCGTCCTGGAGCCCTCTTGGGCGCCTCTTGGGCCGTGTTGGAGGCCCTGGAGGGCAGCCCAAGAAACCCAAATCGTCAAACTCCTTTGTTTTTCTGTACGGTTTTCGCGTTGCCGCCTTTTTGGTTTTCAGAATGTCGAGGACGGTCCAAGAGGCACCCAAGATCGCCCCAAAACGGCCCAAGAGCCCCCACGAGGGGCCCAAGCGGCTCCGACGACGGCCCTCAGAGGGGCCCAAGATGGGGAACACGAACTGACATTTTGAGCCCTCCGCCGCAAGATGGCCAAGATGGCCCCACAAGCTCCAGAGGTGCGACCAAGATACCCCAAGAGGCCCAAATCAGGCCCCAAGAGGCCCCCGATACGCCCCAAGACACTCCCCAAATCGCCTCCAAGGGGCATCCGAGAGGCCTCCCAAGAGATCCGCACAACCATCCAGCAGGCCTGGTGGCGGGACCGGGCCGAAGGCCACTACAAACATCCAGGATTGCCATGGCACGGCGGCCCCCAAGAGAATGGCAAGGAGGGAGGCATCGAACTGGCAGTGGAAAGGCAGCAGCCCCTAGAGCCGACTGGGAGTCGTGCGGCCTCAGAGGTGTCCCAGCCACTTGAGGCAACACACCAATTCATCGTCTGAGGGCGGCCATAGCCACCGACCGTGCCGCCCTCACAGAACACCAGTGGCGTGTCTACAACGCGGGCGAAACACACATCTCCGCATCCGCGGCCTCGCGGGCCGGGCCCTCGGGCCGCGAAGCCGCGGATGCGGGGCGCTCTTCGGGGATGCCCCGCGCGCCGCGCATCGGGGCGACGGCGCATCTCTGCGGGACCGCGCCCCGGAGTCCGCGGAGGTGTGTCCGCCGCTCGTCCTGCCGTCGCTCGGACGTCCATGTCCTGTGCGTTTCTCGGTGTCGTGCGTGTTTTTTGTTTTTTTTTCCTCGATGGTCCAGGATGGTCCTCGTGGCTTCTCGCCGAAAAAAAATGCACACGTCCGAGCGATGCCATAAAACGACGCGAAGATCGGGACAAAATCGGATCGGGATACTTCGAAATCTCTGAGAATCGGCGGGTTTGAAGGATGTATTGGGCGCCTCGGCCGCTCCAGAGCGTTCCGGAACGCTCTGAGAGCGCTCCGGAACGCTCTGGATCGATTTATCCCGATCCTAGCCCTGTTTTATGCCAAGTCGTGGGAGCCGCCGCTCTCGCAGCCTCGCGGGCCCACGCCCGACGCCCTGGCATGCATGAGGGTGCCCGACGGGGCCCGCCCCCGCGCCGCGCTCTCCAGGCCTCGGCCTCGGCGGCCCCCGGCGCGGAGGGGCCGGCAGCGGCGCGGAGGGGCCGCGGCCGCGCGGGGCAGAAGTTAGAGAGAGAGAAGCGCCGTGCACGTCAGAGGTGCGTTGGCAAATAAGTGAAGCAGCAAGTTCCGCTGCCGGAGGCGCGGCTGCGAAACACCGACACCGACAGCGACACCGACAGCGACGACGACGGCGGGGGCAGAAGTTAGGGGAACAAAAAGTGGCATAAACATAGAAACTCGGAGGTCCGCGCCGATTCCTCGGATCGGCGCTGGGCCCCCTCCCTGGCGCGCGGAGCGCGCCAGGGGCGGCCCCGGAGGCGCCGCCGGGGGGCCCCGGCGCCGATCCGAGAAGTCCGCGCGGACCTCCGAGTTTTTGTGTTTATGCCACTGGATGTTCCCCCCGAAGTGCGGGCCGCGCGCGGCCTCCCGACCGAGGCGGGCGCCCCAGCGGCCGCCTGCCGAGGCGGGCGCCCCGGCGGGCCGCTGCCCGCCGGGCCTCCCAGGCTCGGGCGTCCATTTCCCGTGCATTGGTCGGGTTCGTGCGTGTTTTGTTCTGCCCGATGGTCCAGGAGGTTCCTCCAGGGCCCTCGCCGAGAAAAAAAAAAATGCACACGTCCGAGCGATGCCAGGGGCCTCGGCCGCGGAGCGGCTGCGGTGCCATATGGGCCAGGGCCATGGGCTCCGGCAGCGGGGCGGCTGCCTGCCGTGCTCGGGTCGGCCACCGAAGAGGCCAGCGCAGGGGACGCCGAGGCTTCGGGCTCCAGCTGAGGGGCGGCTGCTGGGCTCGGGTGGGCGCTGGAGAAGCCAACGGAGGGGGCGCCGAAACTTCCAGACGCTTGTGGAGACGCATCCGCTCCCATGCTTGGCGGCCGCCCGAATGGGGCACACAGAAATTGAATCGGGGGACTGGGCCGCATCGCTGATTCAGCGGCGGCGCGGCGCGATCTAAATCCTCCTGGCTTCTGTCCAGCACGACACCGTCGCCGATCCATCGCCGATGCATCGGCGACGCGGTGCGATCCTCCAACCCCCGTCTTCGGTTGCATTGTGCATTGTTTGGGCGGCCTGAAGTCCACCTGCTGTAACATCTGGAGGCCTCCTGGGGCCCCCCTGGGAAGCTCCAGCTTGCCGTCGCTCGGACGTCCATTTCCCGTGCATTTTTCGGTTTCGTGCGTGTTTTTGTTGCTCGATTGTCCAGGATGGTCCTCGACGGTTCTCGCTGAGAAAAAATGCACACGTCCGAGCGATGCCAAGCCAGGAGGGGCCTGCGAGGCCCCTAGGAACCCAGATCTCCGGCGGTCCGACTCGTCCCGGCTCGCTGGCTCCTGCGCCCCATCGGCCCCTTCCCGAGGACCAGCTCTTCACCACGAGCTGTCCTTCTCACGGTCCTGGATCACGAAAAGAAGAAAGGAAAGATTGAAAAACCTGCGGCGCGATCTCTCAGGGACCCTCAGAGGGCAATCGAAGCACAAGCGTGTGAGCTTCTGGGCGTCCGCGGGCACATCCTCTGCCTGCGCTGGGGTGTCTGGAGGGGGTCCTGCGCTCGCCTGCAGAGGAGCGGTCCGAGCATGTGCGTATATTGTCGTCAAGTTCTCCAACCAACCTGGACTTTCGACACGTTAGTCTTGCCAACACGCGGGCTCCACAGGTCTCGACCTCCCCCCCCAAAAAAGGCCTCTGGAGCTCCCCCCCAGCAGTACAGAGAAGGAACACACAACGACAACACAAACTTAGCCTCACGGGCTCCGCACGGCTTTCTCGAGTCGGTGCTGGGCTCTCCTCCCTGGCGCGCCTCCGGCGCCGCCGCCGCCTCCTCCTCCTCTCCTCCTCCTCCTCCTCCTCCTCCTCCTCCTCCTCCTCCTCCTTCTCTCCTCCTCCTCCTCTCCTCCTCCTCCTCCTCCTCCTCCTCCTCCTCCTCCTCCTCCTCCTGCGGACTCCCAGCATACTGTGTCTTTGTGCGCTGCCATGGCTGGGAGGAGCGGGCCCCCCCCACAGGGCCCGAGCCTCGCACGCCATCGGAGGCGCCTCGCCCGCTCTATCGGCGCGCTGGGCGCGCCCGCCGGGGCGGGGGTCCTCCTCGGGGCTCTTCGGCGACGCCGAGGGGGAGCTCGCACTCGCCTCGGGGCCGTGTGCGCTGCCGCCGCTGCCGCAGCTCGAGCAGCGGCGGCAGCAGGAGCAGCAGCAGAAGGAAGACGAGGAGGATGTTCCTTCCCCTCCAACTCCTCCTCCACCTGTTCCTCGCTATCCACTCCTCTTTCTCCTCCTCTTTCTATCGATCATTATTCCTCCCCGTTCCTGGCCCTCCTCCTCCTCCTCCTTCTTCTCCTCCTTCTCCCCCTCCTCCTCCTCCTCCTCCTCCTCCTCCTCCTCCTCCTCCTCCTCCTCCTCCATCTCCATCTCCGTCTCCACCTCGTCTTCCCTCCTGCCCCTCCGTCCCCGTCGTCCACGCCGTCATGCTAACCCTCCTTCTTCTTCCTTACTATTTACTTTCACTTTCTCCTTCCCAGCTTCCTCAACCTCACCACCCATCTCCACCTGCTCCCTCCCATTCCTCCACCTCCCCCTCCAACTCTTCAACCCCTTCCTCCTGGAGCCCTTGTCCGAATTCGCCTTGGGGAAACCTCCCGCGCTGGCCGGCGTCCTGTGGCGGTGGCTGGGCGGCTTGAACATGATCTCCCCGTCCACCATCAGCACGTCGCGCCCTCGCAGGGGCCGTTTCGAGCTTAGAGCGCGACACGAGACCCCCGACCACCAGAGGAGTACCAGCAAGAGATCCCTCCTCCTCCTCCTCCTCCTCCTCCTCCTCCTCCTCCTCCGTCTCCCCCTCCTCCTCCTCCTCCTCCTCCTCCTCCTCCTCCTCCTCCTCCTTTTTCCTCCTCCTTCTCCCCCCCCTCCTCCCCCTCCTCCTCCTCCTCCTCCTCCTCCTCCTCCTCCTCCTCCTCATCCTCCTCCTCCTCCTCCTCCTCCTCCTCGTCCTGCTCCTACTTCACCTCCTGCTCCTGATTCGCCCTCTGGCTCCTCCTCCTCCTCTGCTGCTGCTGCTGCTGCTGCTGCTGCTCCTCGCCCTCGTCCTCCCTCCCTGCCACCCTCGGCCTCCTCGTTCTGCTCCTCGCCCTCCTCTTGTTGCTCCTCCTCCCTGCCTCTCTCCTCTCAGCTGCCGCCCCGGATCGAGAGGCTTTGGCCGCCGTGCCAAGTACGTCGGGAGCGGCCAAGAGGGGGGTGTCCAAGAGGGGGGGTGCAAATCATGGCCGGCGGCATGTGCGCGGCCCAGCGGGGGGGCCGGGAAAGTAATGAAATAAGAAGAGGCGCCCTGAAATCTGGGGAAATATCATGGCCCACGCCATGATATCCACCCCCCCTAGTCATCACCCCCCTCTTTTCCGCCCCCGAGTACGGCGAGCCTCTCCCGGGCGGCAGGCAATACGCGCAGGCCGCCGCCCCGCTTGCCGGGCGCGCGCAGGCTGGCCGTGCAGCAACGCCCCGTGCCCGCCGCGCGGCACGAGGCGACCCGGCCTTGGCACCGCCGCGCTCGCTGGCGGCGAGGTGAGGCGCGCACGCCGCTGCGAGTCGCCGCTGCCAGGCCGCTGCTCGCCATGCACCACAGTGCCATGGCTGTCCAGCACGGTGGAAATTACCAGCCTGGAGCATATCCCTATCCCAGCTGCTGGGCATCTCCTCATCACGATGCCAATCTTAGGGATTCCCTTATCTTTTGAAGGCGAATCCCTAAGATTGTCATCGCCTTTTGGCGTGTCAATCTTAGGGATAGGGGTACGTTCGAGGCTGGGAAGGAAAAGGGGGCCAGCGCGGTGGCGAGGGTGGCCAGACACACTGCCGCCCCCGGCGGCGCCAGCCGCCCCAGGCGTCGCGGGGCCACCCGCTCCCCAGACGTGACGTGCGAGGAGACGGAGGCCGAGGGGGGCGGGTCCGCGTCCGAGGCCGAGGGCGGCGTCCTCGAGTCGCCTGGCGTCTAGCGTGCGCTGCTCGTTGACGCCCGGTCTCTACTGACGACATGTTGAACCACCGTCGCAACCTGCGCCGCATGGCGATCGCGGCGGCCAAGAAGTTGCGGGCTTCACGTGCGCTAGGGCTGCAGGAGGCAGTCCTTATCACCCAGGAGAGGGAGTACGCTGTTCTCATGACGATGATTGTCGTCGCTCGTAGAGACAGAAGGCCCAGCTGCAGACAGGAGCAATGGCGGCCATCGCGGAGCCGCAGCCGGGCCAGGCCACCATGGCCCGGCAGCTCGCAGGCTCAGCGACGGTCTTGGGCGGGCCGCAGACGGCGCTCTCGGAGATTCACGGCGACAAGGCTGCCGCTGCAGCTCCCGCAGCTGCGCCCGCGTCTGCTGCTCCTGCTCACGCTGGCCTTGCCAGGGGAGGTGAAGAGCGTGGCGCAGTGGTTCGTCATGATGGGGACTGCCATCACAGTGCCCACGTCTCGGAGCCGACCCAAGGCGAGACTCAGGGCGCGGGCCCCACGCCCGTCGCTGGCAGTCAGGAGATGACGATGGCGCAGCAGGCGGCGGCCAACATGCTGTCCCAGCAGCGGCAGGCCGCCGAGGCAGACGCTGCGGAGGCTGCTGTCGTCGCACGTCAAGCTGAACAGGCTGCCGAGCAAAGGAAGAAAGACGATTGGGCCGCCTCTCGGAAGGCCAAGCAGGAGCGGGCTCGGCTCACCGCCGAGGCGCGTGCGACTCGAGCTGAGGCAGAGCGGGTGATGCTGCGAGCAAAGGGCATGGCAGGCCCTGGCCAGGCCTCCATCGCGGCGGCGCTCGCGGGCAAGACCCACGGCAGCTCTGGGGCAACCACGGCAGGCGTTGCCTGCATAGGCGCCGTCCTGGCGTTCCCTACACCAGGGGGTCCCTCTGCCTGTCTCCCGGCATGCCGACATTGCCCCTCGTGTCGTTCTTGGAGAAGACAAGCCGGAGCCGACTGGTCGTGCTGAGCCTCTCCACCGTGGCCCAGGTGCGGGCAGCAGGGGTCGCAGCCCAAGGAGAGGAGGCGCTGCCCAGCAATTGGCTGGTCGGCCAGACGCTGAGGTTGTTGCAGGATCGGACGGGCTCTCCTCAGATGCGGGATCTGTTGGTTCGGCACCTGGGTGAGCGTGAGGCGGGAGGAGAACGACGCCAGTGGGGATCAGCCGCTGGGTGCGGCTCTGAGCGTGCCTCCTCTCGCCCATGATAATATTCTAACGCCGTGCAGCCCGGTTCCAGATTGCAGCGGTTTAGTTGCGCAGTTATGTACACCTTGGCCAGATTGCAGCCTGGCACCTTTCTTTCTCTCTGCGTCGAATCAGGCTTCGCTTGATCAATGCGTTATCCCTGCCCTTCATTCAAGCACGAAGCAGTTCGTGGAACGGTATTGTGTATCAGATGTTGCGAATGCAGACGTGGTCAGGTATGAAGTATACACGGACGGTTCAGGTGGTTCGGACAGTGCAACGATTGGAGGGCCACTTGCGTGGGCCTTTGTTGTGTGTGCGGTGACCGAGGACGACCGCTATCGCTTCGAAGGCTATCTGGCAGGCCCGGACCCAGGCTTGCGTGAGCAGTATGCTGGTGCATCGGGGCCTGCTGAATTCTCCGCCGCGCTCTGGCTCGTGTGCTGGTTACTGCAGGCCCCCGAACAGTTCAGATCGTGTCCACTAATAGTCCACACAGACAACATGATGTTAGTATCAGCCGCCAAGGGAGGGGTACATGATGCATTTTGCGGGCAGTTACCAACCCGAGCTACTGAGGCAGCGTATGCAAATAATGTGATGCCACGTTGCAGGTCATTGCAGTCATCCGCTACATGAGTTGGCAGACACGCTCGCTAGACTAGCGTCCATGGGTGTAGCTACTCCTGACTTGTGTGCCCAAGTTCCCTGGTCTGGACTGCTTGTGCAAGCATCTCTGGTGCCGTGGTTATGGTTTGCCGATAGGACAAGCAGTGGCTCACACGAGTTGCCGACCACAATACCTGCCCCACTACCCATGCTGCTCCCTCCCGTTGTCTCCCCATCAGAGATTTTCTCGCAATCAAAAGCTGGATCTGGCTCGGAACCTACGCCGGACCCGACGGCGGCTTCCCATTCTACGCCTACCTCCCAGCCTGCTCTACGTGTGATCAGGTTGGCTGTTGCGAATGTGCTGACACTTAGGCCCCGTAGCGAGCCAGTACGAGGTGGGAAGGGACACAGGTTGCGTTGTGCGTACAAGGATGCTGAAGGCGTGGACGTAGAAGGGCGTATGCTTGCGCTCGCACACCAGTTCGCTGCGCAGAAGTATCTGATCGTGGGTACCCTCGAGACCCACATAACACATGGCGAGTTGCCTCCAGCTACCATGTAGTGACCTCGGCTGCAGAAGCAAACGGATCGTATGGTGTAGGCCTCTGGATCAACACGGACATGGAATGCACGCCGGGTATACGACTTGCGCGCAAGAACGTACGTGTCATATCGCATGATGCTCGCCACATGCTTGTTGCAGTACGCGCGCCTGCCCTCTGTGTCGATGTCTTGGTTGCTCATGCGCTACACTCTCGCCGGATTTGGAATCGACTGCCGAATGGTGGAATAGGTTACGACATATTGTGTTATCACGACCAAGTGCCGCTCCCTTATACTGCCTTCTCAGGCAGTCAGTTCTTTCTCGTGCCACCCCTTGCGGGCTATCGAGTCTTCGCCTGCTGCACGCTGCATAGATTTCGACCAATGCAAACACGGTCAAACATCCCGAGCCCCAACTCGCATTCTCTTTCTTTACGAATGCAGCAACTACACAACAGTCTGCTGGCGACCCCTGGTAGAGGAAAATGCTCTCATGGCAGAAGCGGACACGAGGTTTTGCTTGGATTCGATTCGGCAAATCAGGAATGGCGTACAGCAAAGAAGACGTCTTACCCCGAGAACCTGTGCAAATGCATAGCAGATGCGACGGTGCAGGCTGTGCAGACTATGTGGGAGCAGGGGGATCCAGACAGACCACCATCGGACATGATGAAGTCAGATGAAGCTAGAGAAACCCCGATGCTTTTTTATGTGTCCTGGGATCCCTATCTAGGGGTTGCCGAAGGCTGGGCCCCACATTTTGTCTCACGACGTGGCCTAGGTAAACATCGTACCGACCCGGAAATCGAGCGTTTCAACTCGGTAGCTGCTGCAATTCCTGGTGATGATGATGCTCTAGAACCCACCGCGATTCCAAGGTCACCAGGGCCGCCAGAGGCCGATGAGGAACAGGAGTACGTCGACGCTAGGTCATTCACTGGTGGCTCCCAACTGTACAGGAGTCTGCTGGCATAGGCGTAGGGTCCCCTGCTGTTGCTTCTTTTCCCCCTCCCCCCTCCCCTGCCCCCCTGTCCTCCCAGATACGTGATCGTTTTGCGAGGAACCGACAGGAAGCCAGAGAGAGAGAGAGCCAAACGACGTGCAGCTATTGCACCGTGGGCTGTCGACCCAGCCTTTGGACTCGGTCGATTTGATCGTATGCAGCACGTAGTTACTAAGGGATGGGGCGCCAGGATATGGTGGGATGCGCACGCATGCGCAGACTGCCAATTTGGCTTCCCTCACCTCGTTGGTTTAGACAAGGTATCCGCGTTGTTGGAGCCTTAGGTGTGCATGGCGGCCGTTGAGTTGCGAAAGTAACTTTCCTCAAATACCTCAGGCACAGTACGTGAGCCGCCACTGTTCAGTCGAGCTCCGCACCTGTTCCCTCATTCCCCGCCCGCTGCCCCTCCTGCTGCCGCCCCCCTCCGGCTGCCGCTGCCGCTCTACCTGGCGGCCCGGCCGCCCCGCCTGCCTTTCCTCGTGGACTGGTTCCCCGAAGCTTCCCGCCTCTCTGTCGATGCGTGGTAGGCAGTTACAGACTCTCCAGCGGACCCAAAGAGCTCAAGCGGAGTTCATCTGGCACCCGTGCCGCCAGACTCTGGCGCGCCCGCCCCGTGTGGCTAACTCGCTTCCCAACCTCAGGTTAAGAGCGCACGATGCAGACTGTCTCTTCGACCGCCGTGGGATGGGTCAGGATGGAGGTAGGACGTGGGTCGGGGATGCAGCATTGCAGTTGTGCCATAGGCTGGCTAATACCCTTTGACCGCCCTATTCCACTCAGCGTGCAAGATAGCCGCGTGTTGGGGCCCCTGCTTTCCTGTCGGCCGTTGCGAGGCGAAGGTAAACTACCATCAGGCACAGTGCTTGAGTCCGCTTTTCAATCGAGCTTCGCGACTGCCCTCGCTTCGCCCCCTGCCCCTTTCGCCCCGCTTCCCCCCTTCCGAGAGCGACGTGCTCGAGATCACCCAGGAAAGAGAGTATACTATCCAATGACGATGATTCGTGTTGCTCGCGGGCAGGACGTGCGCTTAGAGAGTCAGAGACCCTCGTATAAGAGGGGCATCAAGTGTGCAGCCAAGACCGACATAAACTTGCAGGAGACGTATCAAGCAGCAGCGAGATGTTGTGTTGTTCCGTAAGCAGTGCTCCTTACCCAGCTTAAGGATATGTTCCCTGCACCCATGGAGGAGGAGGAGGAGGAGGAGGAGGAGGAGGAGGAGGAGGAGGAGGAGGAGGAGGAGGAGGAGGAGGAGGAGGAGTCTCTCCAGCGGACCCAGAGGGCTCTGGCGGAGTCAACATCACACCCGAGCCCTCGGACGCCGGCGAGCCGTCTATGTGCATGTCTCGATGACCAGACGCAGGTTGCAGATCATGAAGCAGACTGTCGCTTCGATCGTTCTGGGGAGGTTCGGATGGTGTTGGGAGGTTGGAGGTGGGCGTTCTGGAGCGCAGGCATGCTTCAGGCGTGGTGATCGCCCTTATGGCCCACCTCACCTCCTGGAGTTTGGGCAAGAGAACCACGTGGTTGGGGCCTGTGCCTTTCCCGTCGCCCGTTGTGGTGCGAAGGCAACCTTCTCCCCTGGCAAACTATGAAGGGGCCCTGGGACACACAAAGAAATACACGCAAATAAAAGGATTCCCAATATTTTCCCACATTTTGTTGTTGTTGTTGTTGTTTTTTCGCCTTCCCCCCCACTTCCCATATGTTCCCATATTTTCTGGGGAATCGATGATTAATTGTGCCTGTGTGTTTCTTTCCCTCCTGAAACTAAGCGAGCCTTTAGTAGAGCTCCTCAGCTGCTCCCCCTCTGCCCACCTGCTGCCGGTCCCCCCCAACGGCCGCCGCTGCCGCTCAACCTGTAGCGGCCGCAGCCGCCCCCGCTCCCGCGCCGCTTGGACGGGCTCCCCGAGGCTGCCCGACGCCCGCCTCCCTGGCGGACGAAGTGGGCAAGTGCAGATTTCAGCGGACCCAGAGAGCTCAGGCGGAGTTCCTCCGGCGCGCCCGCCCACAGGTGCATATCTCGCTGCCCGGCCGCAGGTTCTGTCATCATGATGCAGACTGGCCAGTGTCCCGCCACTGGCCGCAACCGCCGTCCATGGATGCGTTCTCTGCGACCACATGCAGGTAGCTGTGCGTGTGTTCAGGCATTTTCAGGCATGTCCAGGGTGGGATGTTTGGCATGCTCATGGCATGTTCACGGTGTGAGCCATTTTGGACTCCCTCTCTCCCCAGGGTCCGACAAGATAATAGTGCTTGTTGTTCCGCCGCCGTGTCTGTCTGTCGCCGGTAACTCCCCTCAGGTACCTACGTGAGCCCTGTCCTGACGAGCTCCATACCGGCACTTGCTAGAGGCTGGTCGCCTCATGCTCCGCAGCAAGTTGTTGAAGCAGACGAGGGGACAGCACTAACAAAGGACCGTCCCTTGTTGCGGCCTCCAGACCTGCTGCGTGTAGTGCTGTGCTGTATGTTCCGCCCACCTGGGCTACTTTTCCCTGGGTGCCAATGCTAATAGTCTATTGCTGCGAGCGCCGCCATTCACCTGACCAGTTGCGCAATCCAAAAATCCCTCCTCTCTCCCTCGCCGTCCTTTTCCTCCTCCTCCTCCTCCTGCTCCCTCCCTCTCCTCCCTTCTCCCTCGACGCCGTCGTCGACCTCCTCTTCCTGCTCCTCCCCTTCTTCCTCATCCCTCCTTTACCTCGTCCTGCTCCTGGTCCTTCCACGCTGTCTCCTTCTTCTTTCTCCTCCGCCTCCACCCCTCTTCCTCGCCCGCCTCCACTTCCTTCTCTTCCTCCTCCACCTCCCTATCCTTTAGGCACGACTTATGTCTGGTCGTCGCCACTGCGGTGACCAGACCAAAGATCAGACAACGCCTCTGGCTTTTAAGGGAAACCATGCACGACTCCCGTCTGACTGGAATAGTTACGCCCGCCCGAGAAGACCTGGCTCCTGATGGCAACCTCTGGTCTCTGAAGGGCCTTTGGGGAATCGCCTGGTATCCTGCCTTGTCTTTTTCTCATCGCCCCACCCATCCTGCTTCATAGCGAGGCATCACCATCGGATCAAAACGAGACGGACCTGCTACTACTGAATATGATACGGCGTCGATGATGCTGATGGCATGATGCGGTGATGGTGTTGACGCTGCTGGTGGTGACGAACCATGCGTGAGATCTCGCCCGCCCACAATCTGCTTATGTTCGAGATGCAGATATACTACGTCTAGATGCTAGTCTACCAAGCTTACTCTTAATAATTCGTCCCTTGGGTCCTCCATCTTGGCCAATCTCCGTGTCTTCTGACGAGGTCATCGAGTCGTCCTCGCTGGCAGACTGGAAAAAAACAATGGGATGGGTGGTGGGGTTGGTGCGAAGGTAATGGAAGGTAGACGGATGGGCGCGAAGATGTATCGGATAACAACATATGGGAAACGAACAACGGGCCAAACAGAAACGGAGAACGGAATACGCTTGAGGACGGAACAATTTGTTGTGGTTCTCGGAAATGTATGGCTGGATGCTTCTTGGCTGGGGGATGAGAAGGTGTCTGGAAGGGAGGAGGATAAACAAGAGGACGACCAAGAAACACATGAGTGACACAAAGAGAAGGACGGTTGACGGATGAAGACGGACGTTTTGGCAAGTTCGCTTTCGTGGCCAGTCTGGGCTCCTGGTTGATGTCACGACCGTCAGATTAGCGGTGACTGTCCAAGGCCACCTGGAAGAGCAACGCTGTACGTGTAAACGGATGACGGAGCAGGGGGAGGACAACCAGGCAACTAGGGAAGAGAACGAGAGGGGAAACTGGAACTCCCCAAATTCGTAAAAAGAAATAAGCACGGTATAACATACTGTAACTTTACACTGAATGTGTCTGTGTGAGATACGACTTGTCTGCATGTTTGGAACGTGCACTATTGGGCTAGGGTCATCCATTGTACGCCAAATTGGGCACAACACAATCGCATGGCATGTGTATGGTATTCGATTGGTGTATACGTGCGTCCTGTATGCAATTGTCATGCATCGCATCTTGCACCACGTGCGAATTCACATACGTATGGCAAACGTGTGTGACACGTTTTGCACATACATGTGTTTCCAGAACATATAGTGAGACCAGATCTGGCCTCCGTGCCTTGAGCATGTCAGGGTGTACCTTCCAAAACTTATACGAGTGTGGGCGGTGCAGATGTCTCACATTTCTGAAGGTTGATCCGAATTTTCGGGCGGCCATGGGCGTTCCCGAGAGTGTTGCGTGAGTCAGCAAGAGGCTCAATTTGTCAGAAAACCGCAAACATGCTGAACACCTTGAGCCTCAAAGGGCGCACCCGGCCCGGGCCAAGTGCCCAGTATATTTCCAATTCGAGGCGGCCCCAAAACCCCAAAACTTCCCAGAACTTATCGAAGACCCTCTGGATGCCCTGTGGAATCCTCTCGGTAAGACCAAACTGATTCTTTGAGCCTCGGAAGGCCCCGAAACGCGGAGGTGAGATGGGCCACGTGCCACTAGATACAAGGACGATGCGGTAGGTGAGACCGCTACTTGGTATGCAAGCTATGTTCTGGCATGGGCAGTCATAATGCGCGTGTAACAGATGTGGTGACTGAAGCATGAATCGTGCTGCGTGGCGAATGATGTTATATACGAAGTGTACGGTAATGCATTACGTAGGGTGTCAACGGGCACTGTGCATCATATTTACTCTTCCGGCCAGATTGCCGTACAAGTGCTGGAAACCTGAATAAAACAATCGTTATGCACGCATGTACCGCGTGGCGCCACCTGGCCGGAAACCGAACCAATCCCCGTCCCAAAACAAAACAACGCTGCCCGCGTGCAGGTGGCGCCCTTGCTGCTGTGGCTGTTGCACAGCGCACGGGATGTAACGACACGGGCGACACGTGCTCGCAGACGGCGAGTTGATCGGCGCGAGACGGCATGTGCCACATGGGCCCGATGAACTGCGCAAATCGCCAGGTCTGCATGATCCAGATGTCCTGGGCCGCAGGGGATGCTGAGGCCGCAGGGGATGCATGGGGCGCAGGGGATGCTGGGGCCGCAGGGCCCCTGTAGAGCCCAAGTGTGATGACTGCTGCACAGCAATTGCCACGGCCTGAAAAAAAAAACATGTCTAACTTCCAGAAGCCAGCTGTTCACGTGGGACGTCCTCGCCATCTGGGCGCCAATGGGCAAGCGCCCTACCCTCTGACGCCCCCCCTCCCTCTCTGGGGTGCCCAACACTCGCCGAGTGCGTTCCGCTACTCGCAGAGTGCCTACTCGCAAACGTCCGAAAAACACATGTCTGCTTTAATGTAATTTATCGTAGGTCCCCCGCGGGGGATCCAGGCCATTTGCGAGCAGCTACTTTGCGAGTCGTGGAACGCGCTCGTCGAAACACGCGGTGGCCCTGAAAAACAGCACGCCCACCTCACAAAGCCGGCGCTTCGCTTGAGATGTCCCCACATGTCGGGCGCCAGCGGGCCAACGTCCTACCCCGTAGTCGCCCCCCCGTTGCGGTGCCCAAGGGCTCTGGTTGCGACATCGCGAACACCACGCGCCCCTGAACAAAAAGAAACGCCTACATTTAGGTCGGGCGTGTCCCCCTACAGGGGGACTTTGGGCGACAAGTGAAAAAAACTCAAAAAGTACCCCCCAAATACTCAAAAATAGTTCAAACATCGCCCCCAGACTATTTTTTAATTCTATTTTTGAATATGCCCCCTGTAGAGGGACACGCCCGATTTAAGCCTACATCCGTAAAACAAGCAAGCCGCTGGAAATATCCCCACTATGTGGGCACGAACCGGTAAGTGACCTATCCCCTGGCGGCGCCCCCTTGTGTTGCCCAAGTGCTATGCCTGTCACATCGCGATGCTAATGATCGTGATATGGAGAAGGAGGGAGGAGGGGGGAGTGAGTAGGCGGATGCACGACACGGATAGCAATAATAAACGAAGTAGAAAATGGGAATGATCTCCGCAACATCCTCTACGAGACGCGCAACTGCCTGCACAATAATCCATTCCGACTGTTGGACCCTTGCTCAGCGCGCGTTCGACGGAAGCAGGCGGCACTCAAAATGGCCCAATCTGCTGTGACATCGCTGCGATGTCGACCTTCGTCGAACGTGCGTTTGATTCGCCCATGTTGTCCAGCCCCCATATGAACCAGACAAGCTGGTTTCTGCTGAGACATTCTCACGATTCGCTCTGAAACTGGCCACGGAGGGACTGCTTCGCCGCTATTACCGGTGACCCCTGGGCGGCCATGGCGCCTCCATGACCCATGACGGCCCAGAAGCCCACCCAGGCTGCCCAAGAGGCCTCCAAGACAGTCCGAGATCGCTCAACGACGCCCAGGACGGCCCCGAGACGGCCCAAGGGGCGCCAAGATGGCCCCAAGAGGCCTCCGAGTCGCCCAAGAGGCCTCAGAGAGGCCCCCGCCCTACAATTTTTGAGTGATTTTGGCGTCTCGCCTTTTCGGCTCTCCGACGCTCCAAGACGGCCCAAGAGGCCTCCAATACCACCCACAAACGGCCCAAGAGACCTCCAAGAGGGCCCCAAGACGGCCCAAGAGGGCTCCAAGACGCCCCCCAACGGGGCCCAAGAGAGGGAACACGAAACGAAAATCCTAGCCTTCCGCCCCAAGGGGCCGGAGACCCCAAAAGGCCCCCAAGAGGCACCCAAAAAGGGCCCAAGAGGCTCCCGAAAGGTCCGACAGATGCCCCCAGAGGAGCCCAACAGGCCCCCGAGAGGCCTCCCACGAGATCCCAACGAACATCCAATAGGCTTCTTACCCACAACCCAAGCACGGTGGCGGGACTTGCCGTAGGCAGCTGGAGATCTGCTCGCTGCTCATTCGCATTGCTGTTTCCCGAAGAGCCCACCAATGTGGCCCGTGCCCTCTGGCTCTGCGGCGGGGCGCGTCGTGTGACCGCATCCTCGCGTATCACCAGGCACGCCCTGACCGTAGCCGAGGAGGATGAGGAGGAGAAGAGAACAAAGAGAACCGACGGTAGAGGGAAACAATTAGTGAACACCCCCCCTGCCCCCCAAACTCAAGGTTGGCACGCGCGGGGGAGACTGCGGTCGAGGTGCAACTCATCACACCCACCGCCAACTTTGAACATTGGGGGGGGGAGGCGTTGACGGACGAATGTGGCATGTGTTCGCTAATTTGTTCCGAGGCCTGGATCACCTTAGATTTACCGTGCGGCCCACGTGCGCGCGCCATCTCACGCGCACGATCAGCACGGAATGCACGCGCGCACGCGCGCATCTCACACTCTGCCCCTGTACACACGCGGCACTGGTTGCGCGCTATATATATATATATATATACCTATACGACCACCCTACGGGTGATAAGGAGGTTGGGGGGGGGGGGTGGAGGGGTCGAGCAATGGGCAACAGTGGTGATTGTTCTCCTGACGATGCCAGTGGAGATTTTTTGTCGGAGGCCTGCTGAAGCCCCTCCGGTCGCCAGTGACTAAATCGCTTCAAAATATTGCTCAACGGCTGCCCTTCGGCGGTCGAGACCGATGCACCGCCATCATAGCTCTTTTTCCCTTGGGGGCCCAGCGAAAGCGTGCCTCATGCAGTCAGAGAATGCCGAAGCGCTGGCAAAGCCTGGCATGCACCGTGTCCCCCTAATAGCACTACAGCAAAGCCCGTGCGCTGGGAAAGCCCGTGCGCTGGCGAAGCCCGTGCGCTGCAGCAAAGCCCGCGCCCCCTAACAGCACTACAGCAAAGCCCCTGCCCTCTGGGAAAGCCCTTGCGCTGGCAAAGCCTGGCGCAGCCCGTGCCCGCTGGAACAGCTGCGCTGGCAAAGCCCGGCGCCATCACGATTCGCGCGACAGATAAACATAATGCAAATCATTGTTGCCCATGTGAACAACGACGGTGGCGTTCTCTGGCCCATGGGACGTGATTGCGCACTGCGCCAGCGCCGTCGGTGGGGCGAAGGGGGCGACAGTGATGCGGATGCCGAACTCCAAGGCGACCGACATCACCACCAACTCGTCCGCGTACTCTTTAGTGGCCAGCTTCTGCACCCAGCGCCGGGCCAGCAAAGGCTGCGTAGATTAGGTTCTTCACGTCGGCTCTGAGCAGCACGGCGGCTTCGCCGCCGCAGAACTGGGCCCGCAGAACTTCCGCCACCACGCCCAAAGGCGAGTGACGCACGCCAGCGTCGACACACCGCTGCACGCCCTGTGCTGTCAGTTGGCCTGCCGCTCGATGTGCTGGAGCGTTGCCCGGCAAGACCTGGGCGAGAATGTCGGGCCCGCGTTCGGCGAGGCCTGCTGCCAGGCATAGCCAGAAGCACGCGCCCGAGGTTCGGCCCGCATGCTGCCCCAGGTCCCGAACATGCGCGTCGAACTGCAGCTCGCTGCGCGTGCGCTGCGAGTACTGCGCAAATACTTCGCCGCCCCCCAGAACTTCGCAGTCCAGAGCCCGGACCGTCTTGGCAGAATGGCGACGGAACCGTTCGAGCGCGTCGCACTTTGTGCGCTGCGCGTCCAGGCCGTTGAGCAGAAGCACCAGCGCTTGCCGGAACAGGAACGACGTCTGCTCCAACGCACGGGCGATGTCAACCTCGTTGAAGCCCATGTCGATCATCGTCGCCGCCGCAGAGGTCTCAGCCGCGGCAACCGCCTCCGAAGCCGCGGGCCCCTGAGTATCCGTCTGTGTCGACGAGGTCTTCCCGCCGGAGCCGATCTTCCCGCGGACTGGCAAAGCCTGGCCCGGCTTCTTCTTCGGTTTCTGTGCGCGGAGCGAGGCTGCGATACTCCACAGGCCGGTGGCCTTGCGGCCCGATTGCTCCTCGCAGCACCGGGAGACGCTGTCACTGATAGGCGCGACGCCCACCGCGGACAGCATTGCCCGCAGATCTGCCAGCTCAGCACCATTAGGTTCGCGCCCTTCCTTTGCGAGCGCGGTGGTCCGGAAGCGTTGCTCGTGCTCAGCCATTAATGCTTCAGGAGAAGCGCCTCTCCGCTCGAGCAGTCTGGTAAACGTGGCGTCTGCCTTGCTCTCGAACTCCGCCCTGGCGAGGAAGTCCTTTGTCAGGTGCGCGGACAGAAAGTCCGTCAAGGGTGGGGGCTTGTGAAAGGCCATAGACCCCACTTCGTGACGCGGGCCCATGCCGCGAAGGCCATCCCGAGCTTGCCCACCGGGTTGGGTCCTCGACAACAACCAAAGGAGACGATGCAGCCCTCGTGCGCCGTGATGCCCTGCGACTTGTGGATGGCGAGCGCCCGTGCCGGGCGCAAGGGTATGCCGGCGCGAGTCAGCGACTGCAAGGTCTTGCGCTGCACCTCTGCGCAGGGGGCCGGTGCCCAGGTAGGTCCTCGGGAGATTGTCGAAGCAAGCGGGGCCTTTGTACGCGGGGAAATGCGCGACCACGAAGTCAGGAACTGGGCAAGCGGGCTCCCCCTGGGGAAACGCTCCGAGAGTGGAGCTGGGATGGCCGACCCCAGCGAGTGTACTCTGGTCAGTTCGCTGCTCCCCTGGGGAGGCGTACGCGATGGCGACGACCACCCCCAGAGCCCCATTCATGAGCCCGAGGGGCACAGTGGGGGCTCCCCACAAATAATTTTGCGTTAACATCACCCGCGCCCCCACGCACAGGTGGAGCGCCCTGCGGAGTTGCCTGAAGTCATCGGCACTCTTGTGTAATCCGCGCGGGTCGTTGCGTCGTGCCTCTGTCCTCGCGACGACGCCCCCCGCGCTGGCAATGCCTGGCGCGCCGTGAAGGGGTGCCCTGGCTGCCAATTGCTTACCGTTGATCTCCCCGACAGCTTGGATCTCCGGCGCGAGAACCAACCCCTCGCGGACGAGAGACTCATCACCGCCCTGCCACGCGCACGTGTTGGCAGACTGAAGGTCCGAACCACTCATCATGTCCAACTCGTGGGTCTTCCACAGAGCGTAATCCTCCGTTGTGATCGCCGCATCTCTGAGTCTCATAGTCGACTCATTGAATGCATCGGCACCCTTCTGGCGGTGGATACGACGCAAACGTAAGACGTCCTCAAATTCGGCGAAGGTCTTCTGGCCGGCCAGCGCCATGGCTCGAACAGTCGGGCCGCCCGCATTCCCGTGGGCCTCCATGTGAACTCGGGGTGGCTCTCGATGAAAGCTTTGAGCCCCCCAGGAACCAAGAGCCTGTTGAACTTGTGGTACACGCGCTCGTCCTCCGGTTTGAACCCCATCTTGTTGCGTGAAATCTGAGATGGATCGAACTCACCGCCATGCGCGTCCAGGCATTGCTGCAAAAATGCAACCATGCGCGCGCCAGCGTCAAGCGTGCCAGCCTCCTCGCCGGCACCCCGGAGGCGCGCAGGGACGTGCACTGGCAATGCCTGGTGTTCCGCGTCGGCGCCGGGCAAATTGGCCACCAGCTGGTCCGGCGATACCTTCCAGTGCCCAGGTCGGAGTAGAACATCCTTCGGAGACTCGCGGATGAGCGAAGCGACGGCTCGAAGGCAAGCGATCTCCGACGCTTCGTTTTTGCTTGCGCCTTTCCCTGTAACCTCAACCCGACGGCTATCTCCCGCTGCAAAGCTGTTCGGCAAAGTCAGGGTGCACCGCCACTCTGCACTGGCAAGGCCTGGCGCAGCGAATTCCTTGCAGTTCTTGACGGAGCTGACCGCGGGCCCTCCGTGCACCTTCGGGCGCGTGGAAGAATGGTTATTGAGGACGGTGTGCCACGAAATGTTATGGACGCGGTGCTCCAACAGATACGCTTGGACGGCCATGGCGCCCGCGCGGCCGCCCGAAGGAACGGCGCGCGCTCGGGGAGAGCGGCTGGCAAAGCCTAGCCTGTACTGGGCGGATCAAAACGAGTACGGGAGTGGCGCGGCAAGGACGAGGTACCCTGCTTGAGCCGAACCCCGCTAAGCGGAAAGCTTCGATCTACCTCTTGCTCAACCCCTACTCAGATGGCATGGGCCCGAACGCGAGCAGGGCTCTCCAGAAACAGTAATCAAGATACAGGGGCCTTTTCTACGTCCTTCAGGGGCCTCGGTGCGGCGCGACATTGCACCGTGGATCGGCCCCGGAAGCGGCGCAACACTGTGCGTGGTGGAGGAGAACCTGAGAGAAAACCTCACTCGCTGCCTCATTCGGTCTCACTACCGATCTCACAATCGATATCAGTATCGACGTCATCATCATCATCATCACCATCAACATCATCATCATCATCATCATCATCATCAGCGCCATCATCAACATCATTTCATCATCATTACCATCATCAGCATAATCATCATTATAATCATCATCAACATCATCATCGGGACACCGACGGGACACCGACGGGACACCGGCGGGACACCGGCGGGACACCGCGCGCCACCGGCCGCCCGGCGGAGAATCATTTGGTCCGGCCGCGCCTCAGCCACAGGAGACTTTCCCCTCGCCCGCCCACGCAGCTTCGCCTCGCCCGCACGGCACGCACGAACACGAAACCGAAATCGATTTCCCGGTAGGGGGGCTCTCCGTTCCACTTCGATCTCACCCCCCAACCTCCGATATATATATATATATATATATATACACACACACATATACGTTGTACTATATATACATATTATATGTATATATGGTGGGGCCATGTCGCTCTGCATGGGTAGGGGTTAGCCCTGCCCGCGCTGTGGGCCATCCCTGCCTGGACTTTCAGCTGGTCGCGTCCTCAGACGAGGAGGAGATCGCGCTGGCGTCGACTGGCCACATGAGCTGCGGCAGCGTCCTCTTCAGCCAGGACGAGAAGTGCAAGCCGACATGCTGCGGCAATTTCTCCTCCTGCCAGGCGGCCCTTCTCCTCCCTCTCCTCCTCCTGCTCAACAGTGGAGATCCCTCGAGGCCCAACACGGAACGAAAGGGCCAAGAGATCTCGATCCTCGACCCTCGATCCTTGATCTTCAAATCCCGATTCCCGAACCTCAATCCTTCTCTGCCTCTGCGCATCTGCTGGGCGCGCGCGGCGACCGCCGCGCCCGAGATTGCCCCAGAGACGCAGAATCTCGCAGTCGAAAGCGCAGTGCTATTTGAGAAAGATGCTTCCCAGCGTGGGCCAGAAGTTGCGAGTGGGCAGCTATCAGGGGTCGCTAGGGGCCGTTATCACGCCGTCTTAGGGGCCTAGTAGGCCGCCTTCGGGCCCCTGTTGGACCGTCTCGGGCCCCTTCGGGCCGTCATGGGGGTCTCTTGGAACTGTCTTAGGGCGGTCTCGGGGCCCTGTTGGGCTGTCTTGGGGCCTCTTGGTCTGTCCGGAGCCCCTCTAGGGGCCCTCGTGGGGCACTTTGAGGTCCTCTTGGGCCGTCTTGGGCTGTCCTTGGACCCTCTTGATAGCATATTGTCACTTGTTGGTACTTTCTTCGGCCTTCCCAGCGCCATATGGGAATTGCCATGGGCTGTCTTGAGCAGCTTGGGTGGGCCTGGGAAACCGTGGAGGGGATTATGTCTGGATTGGGGGTTCGGAATACCAACCCACCTATCCTTCGATATCTACATCTTTCTGTCCGTCCATCCACCAACTACCCATCGATCTGTCCATGCACAGTTCTATATGCCGACCACTTTCGTTATTGCTCATCTACATCTATACAACTATATAAACACATATATATATATATATATATATACATATAAAAATGTGCATACACAATGTTATATACATCTGCCCTTCTACCTGTCCGAAAACTCATAGATCAATCCAGCTGATTACCTCATGAACTCTCGATACACCCATCTAAACATTTTGGGATGTCCCACCACTCATTCTATCCCATATGTTTGTACGCATCTACCTCACTCCGTGGCCCACTCTTCGTCTTGAATTGTCAAAGACGTTGGTGTTGCAGCCCCACCCATGATTGCTTCGCCCACGCGCGCGAGGGTCCTGCCACTCGCCCTGCCTCCTAGAAAAAGTCTGCAGCTTCCACCGGCGCGCCCCGCCCGCGAGGCACGGCGCGGCCATGCCGAGGATCGTGTACGCGCACGTCTTGCTCCGGCTCATCTCCTGCACGGCTGCCCGATCGGAAAAGGAGAGGGGAGGCAGGGGAATGAAGGAGGAGGGGGAGGGGGGAGGAGCGGCAACGAGCAGTGTGTACATGTATGCGGATGTGCTGACATATATGATGTATTGATGTGTTGTTGTGTATGTGTATGTATAGGTATGGGTATAGTCAGCACAAGTATGTACAAGTATCTATGCATATCTGCACATTCGTGTATACAATACTACACTGGCGCTAGAAACCATGCTCCTCGGATCTTGAAGTTCCGCACGCTCGCGGAAGAGAGAAGAGACAGAGAGAGCGAGAGAAAACACCAATCACCACAAAATACGACGTTGTTGCCTTTTTCGCGATCGTCTTTCTAGTCCATATATTTACTATGCATTAAGCCTTTCATCCTCTTTCTTCTCCCTCTTCTTCGTTTTCTCACCCCTCCTTGGGAACCCCTGCCCGTCCTCCTTCTCATGTGTTTTGGCGGCTTCTCCGCCTGTCGAGGCTTCTTTTGAGCTTATTTGAGCTTCTTTGTGAGCTTCTTTGTGGCTTCTTGTGAGCTTCTTGTGACCTTCTCGAAGGCTTCTGTGAAGCTTCTCGAAGGCTTCTCTGTAGATGGCCTCTCGAAGGCTTCTCGTGAGCTCCTCTGTGGCCTGTGGAGGTTTCCTGGAGCTCTCGGGAGCCCCTCTGGGGGTTCTCGGGGCAGCCTTGCTGCCAACGCCAGTCCCCATCAGCGACTGGGTCGCGCCGCGGAGTGTATTGGTGGGCACCTTGGAGGTGTACTGGGGCTCTGTTGGGACGGCCTGACGCCTCTTTGGTCCATCTCGGAGCGATCTTGGGGGCCTATTCGGCAGTCTCGCACGTCTGGAAGACAGAAGGAACTGACGTCCCCGAATCGTTTAAACAATTATGGAGGACATTCCTATATTTGCCGTGTTGGAACCCTCTGGGGGGTCTTCTTCGGGTCGTCTTAAAGCGTCTCGGGAATTCCTGAAGTCACGTGGGGCTTCCGTGAAGCCGTTCGGGCGCCATTCCGACCGCTTTGGGCCTGCTTCCGAAGCCGGCCAAGGACCTCCAGGAGCCCCAGTAACCCGAAGAGACACTCTGCAGGGGCGCCCAGGAGGTCCAAGGGCCCGAAATTCGCTGTGTGTGCGCGCGTGTGTATGTGTGTGTGTGTGTGTGTGTGGGGGTGCGTGCGTGCGTGCGTGCGTGCGTGCGTGCGTGCGTGCGTGCGTGCGTGCGTGCGTGCGTGCGTGCGTGCGTGCGTGCGTGCGTGCGTGCGTGCGTGCGTGCGTGCGTGCGTGTGTGTGTGTGTGTGTGTGTGTGCGTGCGTGCGTGCGTGCGTGCGTGCGTGCGTGCGTGCGTGCGTGCGTGCGTGCGTGCGTGCGTGCGTGCGTGCGTGCGTGCGCGCGTGGGTGTGTGTGTGTGTGTGTGTGTATGTGTGTGTGTGTGTGCGTGCGTGCGTGCGTGTGTGTGTGTGTGTGTGTGTGTGTGTGTTGGGGGGGGGCACCCGCGTTTCAGTGTCTTGACATCTGTTCGACGTTGATATCCTCTATGTGCACCGCATATCCTGGCACTTCTCGCTCTGAATGTCTGAGTGAAGGAGTCAGCCTGCGGCGGCCGAACGCTCCCCGACGGCTGCCCCTAGGAGTGCCCAAGTGCCACGCCTGCTGTATCATAATAAATCTTCGGGCCCCGAATCGGGGAGGGGTCGGGGGTGCTAAACCAGAATTTCTCTTGAGACGTCCCCACGATCTTGGCGCGAACGGGCAACCTTCGACCAGTGGCGCAGGCACAACACCTGCGAGACCATCGACATCACGAGCTCCTCCCCCTGGTACATCAAGCAGGTGCTGCGCAAGGACGTGCAGGCCTGGCAGCTACGACAGCTAGCGGCAGACACGCACGAGGGCATCACCTACGGCGCCTTCGTCCCACAGGTGCGCAGGTGGCTCAGCACGGGCAAAGCCTCCACCTCCGAGGGCCGCAGGTGGAAGCCCCTGGGCGACAAGCAGAGGGGCTACTTGAGGTCTCTGCTGGTGCACGGACAGTGGCTCAACCAGCGAAGGTTTGAGGCAGCGCCGAGGCTCGCTCCATCACCACAATGCGAGATACACCCGCACTCCCTGGGCACCCTGTGGCACCGTCACCTGGGGTGCTGCGAGAGCTGGCCCAGCTTCGAGCTGCCCGAGGAGCTGGAGAAGTTCAAGCAGTTCGAGACCAGCATCACGATCAAGACACTGTTCGAGCGGCTCCTGCTGCCCGAGCCCAGCCACGGCTGGCGCCCCCCGCAGGACGACCTGCTACAGGGGCTGAGGTGGCTCAAAGGGGATGACGACCCTTTCACCAACACCGAGCTGTTCGCCGACGGCTGCTGCTTCGAGGCAGGCACTTCGCTGGCTATGGCAGGATGTGCAGTAGTCGAGTTGCCACCTGGACCAGAAGGAGAAGACCCAGGCAAGGGATCGTGTGTTAAGGCCATGGGCGCCCCTATGCCTGGGCTAATTCAGTCTATCGGCGGCCCGGAGTTGCTCGCGCTCTACGCGATCCTCAGGCACTCGCTCCCCCCCCATCACGGCCAACTTCGATGCCGAGTACGTGGTCAAAGGCTTGATGGAGCGAGGGCGTGAGGCCACTACCTCGCATAAGTCCGCCTGGGGAGGGATCTGGCGCAGAATCTGGCGCGCGCTGGACGACTTCGGCGACCTCAGCAGCGACGGCCTCACGGTGCGGAAGGTCAGGGGCCACGCGGCGTTCAAGGACGTGGGCGAGGGCAAGACCACTCTCCGCAGTCGGCGAGGCAACCACGAAGCTGACCGAGCGGCGAAGTTTGCCACCGAGCACTGCAGGGCGCCGCTGCAGACGCGCGGAGCCAGGAGAACAAGGGCGGTCACTTTGGACGGTGCGATCTTCTGGGTATCGCAGGCAGGCGCCGAAGCTGCTGACCTCAGGATCGACTTTCGCGACAAGTACAGGGAGCCCGAGTCCAAGGGCCCCAGACTCTATATCACCAAGCACGAGCTGGCCAAGATCAAGGGAGGAGCAGAGGGCGTCCAGGCGCTCCACTGCCTGCGCTGCCTGCGGTCGGCCTTCACTGAGATCTCGACCAAGAACCTCCCAAGGCAGAGCTGCACGCCAAAGGCCTTCGCTCCCGACGCCTACACCAGCGGTGGCAAGAAGCGGCCGCGCACCTCGGCCCTGGTGCACGCTGGTGCCGCCGCGGTGGCGGTCGCAGCAGCCCGCCGCTTCGTGGAGGACGAGAACCAGCCCACCCTGGCCAGCGGTGAGGCATGCAGCAGCGTGGCGAGCTCCCCCTCCGATCAGCATCGTGGCGAAAGCCAGATTCTGGGATCCGTTGGTGACGGTGACATGCGTGCTGACGAGGGCTGTCAGCATCGCGGCGAGAGCCAGATTCTGGGATCCGTCGGAGACGGTGACCTGCGTGCTGACGAGGAGCAGCCGTCGGCGGGCTCCTCTTCCTTTCAGCATCGTGGCGCGAGCCAGATTCTGGGATCCGTCGGTGACGGTGACCTGCGTGCTGATGAGGAGCCGCCGAAGGCAGGCGACGGGGGTGCCAAGGCCGAGCCTGCTGCGACGCCGCCCAGCGGCTCTGGCGCGCTCGACGTGGACGGGGGCGGCCACGACCTGCGCACTTTCTTCGGGTACCGCGTCTGCCTGAAGTGCTTCCAGTATGCCAAGGAGGTGAAGGGCAAGCACAGGGGGCTCGGCCTGGCCTGTGCTCCAGCGCTCAAGCCCAGCGCCCAGGCGGAGCGCAGGAGGAAGGCCGAGAAGATCATGAGAGGAGTGGCTCCGACTGGGAGGCCACTAGCGTGACGGCGTCGCGGCGGGCTCCACTTCCACTGAGCTGCCGCCCGCGGCGCAGCTGCGTCGCCGCCGCTCTGCCCTGTCGAGTCGCCGCCGTTTGCGGCGACTCCAGAGGCGGCCAACTTGGCCGCCGTGCGGCCCGCGACGCAGCTGGACGTGCGCGCTGCGCGCACTCAGGCTGCTGAGGAAAAAATTCTCAGCCGCCGAAGGCGCAACCCATGGCGAAACCGATGGGAGACTGTGTCATTCTCGGCCGTCGAGGGCGCGACCTATGGCGCAACCGATAGGAGAGGATTTCATTCTCGGCCGCCGAGGGCGCAGCCTCGAAGCAAGGCCGGCTCGCGAACTCGAGCGGATGAATCCTGGACTCGGACCAGCGCGCCGACACTCTGGCACAGTATCTCGCCCAAGTTCACTGGGCTGTTCGGCCGACGGCAGCCGCCGAATTCACAGACAGCTTGGGTCCTACATTACCCGTGTCGTGTGATCCCATCACCGAAGACGAGGTGTTGGCAGCGGCTGCCAAATTGAAGAGGGGAAAGGCCTGGGGGGCAGACGGAGTTCCAGGCGAGTTCTGGAAATCGATTCGCACTCCAGGGGCCCCTGCCTGCAGGTGGGCGGTGCCATGTTGCAAAAAGTGCTGGGAAGAACGCGTGGTCCCTGACGCCTGACACAAGGCGCTGGTTACGGCTATCTTCAAAAGAGGTGTTATTGCAAACTGTGGAAATGACCGCCCAATCAGCTTGATTTCGATTGGGTATAAGATGTTCGCGAGAATTCTTTTGAACCGTCTGAAGGCAGCTGGTACTGAACAGAGAGTTTGGAGCACCCAGTTCAGTTTCAAGAGCAAGCACGGGCCAGCGGACGCGATCTTCCTCGTTCGACGTTTGCTCGAACGCACTTGGGCAGAAAAAACGGGCGCCTAATTTTGCTGGCTTTGGACTGGGCGAACGCATTTGACAGTGTGTCGCCCGATGCGTTATGCCTCTCGTTGGAGCGGTTCGGCGTTCCCACCCGCTTCATACAAGTTGTGCGCGCCATAAACACAAATCGTACTTTTTCTGTCCGCGGCGCTGGGAAAACATCGCTAGATCATCCACAATTGTTCGGCATCAGTCAGGGTTGTCCGCTCTCTCCACTCTTGTTCGCAATATGTATGACCACATTGTTGCGCGATGCAAATAAAAGAGAGAGAGAGAGAGGTGGATCCATATCAGAAGAAGAGCATGCATGTGAACGAACTTGTATACGCAGACGACACACTTTTGCCAGCCACCTCCGGCGAATGAGCCGGTGCGCACATGCATGCCGTACAACGTGTGGGGCAACAATACGGTTTACAGCTTAATTGGCGCAAGCTAGAAGCCTTGGCTGTAGGAACCGACGTATGCATTCCCCAGCCGGACGGCACCCAAATCCCACAGAAGGGAAGCATAGTATATTCAGGTAGTTTGATTAGCGACGATGGCAAACTAGGTTCAGAGTTGTCGCGCCGCCTAGCTGCAGGCGCAAATTTTGAAACATCGGCCAGGGTATGAAGCCATTCGGCTCTCACGCAACGGAAGAAGATTCAGATTTTTGAGCCTTGCGTCTTAAATAAGCTGTTGTACTGTTTCCACACTTCGTACCTTAACAAGCACGAGATGTGTCGTTTGGACGCATTCCAGGCGTAATGCCTGCGCAAGTTGTTGCGCATTCCCCACTCGTACATCAACATAATCTCAAACGAAACCGTGCTTCAACGGGCTGGCGCCCGCCCGCGTAGCAGCACGCTCCTCCGTAGACAAATTCTTTTGCTGGGTCAAATCGCAAGAAAGCCGGATGACGTCGCTTTGCGTTGCGCAGAGTTTCATCCCCTTTCCTCCCTCCTCCTCCCCCCTCCCACCAAGAGAACGAGAGGGCGACCACGAGCAACGTGGCCCCAGGAAGTTTACAAGCACGCCTGCGAAGCAGCTGGGGGTGTGGAGGCCCTTCCAGCGCTCTGACAGGACACCATTTCTTCGGCCACGGCGTGGCGTGTCGCAGTCAGCACGTATTGCGATACCACGTGATAGTGGCTATGTGATCAAGTGCGTTTCGTACGCCGAGGGCGCAACCTATGGCGCAACCGACAGGAGACGGTTTTATTCTCGGCCGCCGAGGGCGCAACCTACGGCGCAACCGATAGGAGACGGTTTTATTCTCGGCCGCCGAGGGCGCAACCTATGGCGCAACCGACAGGAGACGGTTTGATTCTCGGCCGCCGAAGGCGCAACCTATGGCGCAACGGACAGGAGACGGTCTTATTCTCGGCCGCCGATGTGCCAGGAGAAGGAGGATGAACAGGAGGAGGAAGAGGAGAAGCGAGGGCGAAGTCCTAGACGATGACGACGAGGAGGAGCTGGAGCAGGAGGAAGACGAGGAGGACGAGGAGGATGAGGAGGACGAGGACGACGATGAAGATCAGGATGGGGAGGGGGACGGGGAGGAATTCGAGTAGTACGAGGACAAGTGTGGGCATTCGAATGCGTGTGAGGCTAAGCCCGATGTATGCTCGCCGTTTGGGCTGGCTGTGGGGCCCAAGCGGCGAACTATCTTGTGATTTAGAAAAGCCCGGACCCTGGCGGTCTTCTATTTCTTTTGTTTTCTGAGCGCCCGAAAACTCCGAAGAGGCACCGCAAGATCGCCCCAAGACGGGCCCAAAAGGCCTCAAGACGGGCCAATAAGGCCCCAACATGTTACAACGAGCCCCCCAAACGGCCCCAATAACGCCCAACATGACCCCGAGACGCCCCCAAATCACTACACGTCGGGATCTGGTCGTTGAGGGAAACGGCGGTTGGCAGCAAAACGGTTCCAAAAAGCCCCCAGAGGGGGCCCCCAAGAAGCATTCGAGAGGCCCTCTTAAAGACCCCCCCAAGGAGGAGCCCCCGCCAAACAAATTACGAGGACGAGAGGGAATTGCCAAAAGGGAAGGCAGCAGTGCGTTTCACTCGGTGTTGATGGTTTTTGGCAGTCTCGCCGTTTCTGCTTCCTGACGCTCGCAAGCGGCCGTGGATGCCCCCAGAAACGCCCCTAGACGGCCCAAGAGGCCTCCAAGAGGGCCCCGGAACAGCTCAAGAGAGACCCACGGCGCCCCCCAAATCGCCCCAAGACGGCCCAAGAGGCCCAAAAGACGGCTCCAAGAGGGGGCCCAGATGGGGAACTCGAGCGGACATGTCGAGCCCTCAGCCCCGATGGGCCCCCAGGAGGCCCCAAGAGGCCCCCAGGAGGCCCCAAGAGGCCCCCAGGAGGCCCCCAAAGGGCTTCCAAGAGGCACAAAAACTGCCCCCAAGAGGCCCCCGAGAGCGTTCCGACAAGACCCTCAAAACAATGCCTGAAAACTCCGACCGCTTGCAAAGCGTTGCGCTTCGCCTGGCGATCCGCCCGTCCGCCAGGCCGTCTGTCCCCCCCGCTCTTCAGGCCGCGGCGCTGAGAACTTCTTAGCTCTGGGACGCGTCGGCCAACCCCACCGTCGCTGTCGCTGTCGCCGTCACCCGAGTCGGTGGCCATGATGAGGGGGGGGCGGCGGCAGTGGCAGTAGCAAGAATACCAAGAGACGGTGAGAACCCGAATTGTCTCCCGCTGGTGCTATTGGGGGACCTGGGCTCAGGGGAGGCTGCAGCACCGCTCAAAGATGCGCTGTTTATCGAAAATCAGCAGGGTGGGCCCTTTACCAAATCCATGCTTCGCGCGCCCCATCCGTCGTCGTCGTTGTCGTCGCCGTGGTCGTGGTGCGTGTTACTCTGCACGGGACTTGTTTCTCGTCTGCAGTGACTATCACCACCACGTTCTAATCCTTGTTCTCATCCTCGCCCTCCCTCCTCCTTCTTCCCTTTTCCCTTCTCCCTCCTCTCTCCCTTCTTCTCTCTTTCCCCCTTCCTCCTCCTCCTCCTCCTCCATCTCCTCCTCCTCCTCCTCCTCCTCCTCCTCCGCCTACCCCCACTTTCCCCGTTCCCTGCGCATCCCTTTTGCGTCTGACGGACCTTGAGCCACAAGGCTCTTCTCCCCCTCCTATCATGTGACCTCCAAACACCTCTGGGGATCTCTGGAGATCTAGGCGGAATCTGGGACATGCCCCACACCGCGCTGTGTCCGGCAGCTCGTTGGTCAGCGTCAAGAGCATGCAGTACGACGCGCACTCCCGGATTTTGAGCGCTGTGCAGTGCAAGTACTTCGTTTTCGACACATTGCCTCGCTGTGGACGGGCGCATTCTTCGAACGGGACTTGCTCTGGCGCCTCCTCCCTGGTCTCGATCAGGAGCTCGATCTCGGAGCCCAGCTCCAGTTGCCCCCCGAAGAACTCGAAAGTAAACCTCGGCATCTGATCGCGGACACCGCCAGCCAAGCATGTCACACCGACCACATCCAATTATGTCCCACTCTCTTTCGAACACCGGTAATGGCGATGGCAATGGCGATCGCATGTCGCTCACGCGGCCGCCACTTCAAATCTATACATGTATATATATATATACATATAAATACATAAACACATAAACACATACATACATACATACATACATACATACATACATACATACATACATGCATGCATGCATGCATGCATGCATTCACACATGCACACATGCACACATACACACATACACATACACACATACACACATACACATACACATACACATACACATACACATACACATACACATACACATACACATACATACATACATACACACATACATACATCCATACATACATGCATACAGGCATAAATGCATGCATGCATACATGCATACATGCATACATGCATACATACATACAACCATACAACCATACAACCATACAAACATACAAACATACAAACATACATACACACATACATACACACATACATACATACATACATACATACATACATGCATACATACAACCATACAAACATACATACATATCTATTTATATATAAATATCGGAGGTTGGGGGTGTGAGATCGCAATGGAACGGAGACCCCAAACCGTGAAATTGTTTCGTTTCGTTCGTGCCGCGAGTGCGGGCGAGGCGAAGCTGCGGGGGCGCGCGAGAGGAATGAACGTGCCGTTGCTAGGGCGAAATCAAGACGAATGATTCTCCCCCTCCCACCCGTCCGGCGGTGGCCCGCGGTGTCCCGCGGTGTCCCGTGGTGTCCCGTGGTGTCCGCCGTTGCTATAGGGCGAAGTCAAGTCGAATGATTCTCCCCCGCCCGCCCGTCCGCCGTCCGTCCGGCGGTGGCTCGCGGTGTCCCGCGGTGTCCCGTGGTGACCCGTGATGTCCGCCGTTGCGAAGGGAGAAATCAAGACAAATGATTCTCCCCCTCCCGCCCGTCTGGCGGTGGCCCGCGGTGTCCGGCGGTTTCCCGTGGTGTCCCGTGGTGACCGCCGTTGCTAGGGAAAAGTCAAGACGAATGATTCTCCCCCGCCCGCCCGTCCGTCCGTCCGTCCGGCGGTGGCTCGCGGTGTCCCGCGGTGTCCCGTGGTGTCCCGTGGTGTCCGGTGGTGTCCCGTTGAATGAGATCGATAGTGAGATCGATAGTGAGATCGATGGTGAGATCGATAGTGAGAACGATCCTGAGATCGATACTGAGATCGATGTGGTGCCCCGAGGTATCCTGTGTTCCAAAAAGTGTCCCGTTGAGTGAGATCGATAGCGAGATCGATACTGAGATCGATGTGATGCCCCGATAGTGAGATCGACAATGAGACCGATCGATAATGAGATCGACAGGTGTCCCGTGGTGTCCCGTTGGTTGAGTGAGATCGGTAGTGAGATCGATAGTGAGATCGATAGTGAGATCGATGTGGTGTCCCGAGGTGTCCCGTGGCGTCCTATGGTGTCCCCCCGTTGAGTAAGATCGATAGTGAGATCGATCATGAGACCGATCGTGAGATCGAGAGGCGTCCCGCGGTGTCCCGCGGTATCTCGCGGTGGCCCGTGGTGTCCCGTTGAGTGAGATCGATAGTGAGATCGACAAGTTTCCCGTGGTGTCCCGATGAGTGATATCGATAGTGAGATCGATAGTGAGATCGATGTGGTGTCCCGTGGTGCCCCGTTGAGCGAGATCGATCGTGAGACCGATAATGAGATCGACAAGTGTCCCGTGGTGTCCCGTTGAGTGAGATCGATAGTGAGATCGATAGTGAGATCGACAAGTGTCCCGTGGTGTCCCGTGGTGCCCCGTTGAGTGAGATCGATCGTGTGATCGATTGAATCAGACGTTGATTCCCTCCCTCTCCCCCCCACGACCTCCTTATCACCCGAAGGGTGGTCGTATATGTTTGCATATACATATAGATATATTTCAACATATCCGGATGATGATGATGATGATGATGATGATGATGATGATGATGATGATGATGATGATGATGATGATGGCGATCTGATGGGGGAGACACAGGAAAAGAGGAGGATCAGGTGACGGGTGATGAGTAGGGCCTGGGAGGAGGCGGAGGTTGTCTGGGTGAGGAGGAGGACGATGACAAAGATGAACACCAGGGGTAGGAAGAAAAGGATGAGGAGGAGGGAGGAGGACGACACTTATGATGTTGGTGATGTTGATGATGGCGCTGGCGATGGTGCTGATGAGGGTCGCTTCTCTTTGCTCCTCCTCATATTCGTCTTCCTCCTCCTCGATCACCCCTCATTATCATCCTCTTCTAGTTATTATTCCTCCTCCGCCTTCCCACCCCGTCGTGGTCGTGGTCGTGGTCGTGGTCGTGGTCGTGGTCGTGGTCGTGGTCGTGGTCGTGGTCGTCGTCGTCGTCGTCGTCGTCGTCGTCGTCGTCGTCGTCGTCGTCGTCGTCTTCCTCGTCGTCGTCGGCGGCGCACTTCCCCTCGTCGTCCGAGGAGGGAGCGGAAGAAGCCGAGGCCGTGCCTCCTCTTTTTTCTCTCCTCTCGCTCCGCGGCCTGCGAGCCCCCGAGCCTCCCGGCGGAGGAAGGGGCCCGAGGGGGGCCGCCGCGGCCGAGCCCGCGGCGGGAGTGCCGCCGACGGGGCTCTGCCCGCGAGGGATGGGGGCTCGGTCCTCTGCCCTCTGCTCTCACTTTTCGTCCTCCTCCTCCTCCTCCTCCTCCCTCCTCCTCCTCCCTCCTCCTCGTACTCTACCTCCTCCTCCTCCTCCCTCCCTCCTCCTCCTTTTCCTCCTCCTCCTCGTCCTCCTCCTCCTCCTCCTCCTCCTCCTCCTCCTCCTCCTCCCTCCTCCTCGTCGTCGTCCTCCTCCTCCTCCTGCTCCTCCCTCAACCTGTTCCGTCCTCCGAGCTGCTCCCAAGATTCCTTCCGCACCATGCAACCTCCGTGTATTGTACCGCGCTCTCTGCCATGCCAGATGTCCTCCTGGCTTGCCCGGACACGACCTCGGAGCAGGGACGTCTCGGAGCGTTTCGCCCCGCGTGGAGCATGCGTTCTTTTCTCAGGCTTGCAGTCTACGATCCATTGTCCCTCGTGGAAGTGGAGCGACCGACCAACAAGTGGCGAGAGATACCTTTAGATAGAATCGGCTTGGCCGGTACTCGTCTTCGAGCACGTGGCGGTGTCTCTGTTGCAACAGTGGCGCCTTGAACGAGGGGCATGCGGACTGTTGGCGGGCTGGCTGGCGGCCAACAGATCGGCGGGATGCATGCTTATGATGACGAAGCGGCTGCAGAAACGGATTTGGACGATCGCGACGCCACCGGCCTCAGAACAAGGACGAGGGCGTGCAGTACGTATGGTACGAGGCTCCCTCGACCTGACCATAATGCTGCTGCACTTGCCCCCGCTCACGGACGACTGTGCCCGCGAGCGGGTGCGGCCCCTCGACAACGGCCCCCGAAGACAGGTGAAGTGGGCGGTGCAGCGGGCGAGGGCGGCACGCGCTCGATCTGCACCGAGTGTACTGGGAGATCTGAGCAGGGGACTGATACTTCGAGGTGGCACACTAGCAGCACCGCCGACCTTCCAGGCCGAGGCCACAGGCACGGCGGACGAATTGGGCTACCACCACCTTTATAGAGGAAAGAGCTCCATGCACATGCTGGGAATAATGCGGTACATCGCTTCTACCCGGACTGGAAGGGTGTCTTCGGAGTTGCAGTTCGGAGAGGCCTTCACGAACTGCCCAAGCATTGGCCTGCAAGATTTCACGGAGTTGTGCCTGCCCGACGCCGCGAGGATGCCCTAGCTTTTCAGATGTTTGTCGGGCATGGGCTTCGGCGGCGAAAGCTTGCACACCTCAATAAATTGCACGACATGCCTAACGCCTTTGCCTCCACTAGGCCCGACGCTCGACGCCGTGCCATTCGATCGCCAGTTGCCTCAAAAGATCAAATATTATTTGAACTCCGTGCTGCGAATGCTGCTACGTATCTGGGGTTTGTAGCGGGAGAGGAGGAATCATGGAAAGATCATCAGAACCTTGTAATCCGACACAAGAGTGGAATACTGATGGGATCGAGCAAAGGGCCCGTGATTGTTGCCAAGGTTATGCAGTGACCGTTGTGCGGCCACGTCTCCTGACTCTGCCTTGGACTTGCACTGTGGCATCTTCCAGGGATGCTTCAACGGTGGCACTAGCGTGTCCGCCGATGACATGTTCGATATCATACTCGTCAGGAGTGGACAGGCTGGAGAGGCCCACCTTGACCCAACAGAGCAGAGCGACGCGCTCTTGGATTCGGCGTTGATCGATGTCGGTCTGCTTCAGCTCAAAAGCCACGCGTGGTATTGTACCGAGTTCTCACTGTTCTCAATGAACTTAGAAATTTCGATGATTAAGGGCCGAGGGCAAGGTTTTACCGCGGGCCAGATATCTCGGAGGTCGATGCGCCTGAATTCCAGTGACGAAGGAGGAGCTACAGTATCGAAGTTCTGCCATGGGGGCTGGGTGGGCTAAGATGGGTAATCGATGGGGAAGCCGTATTTCCAGCACGCTAGAACTTCTAGCATTCCAGGGGCATGTCATAGAAGTAGGCTTATCGGCGAAGGAGCTATACGCTTTTCCTGCAAACATGGCCAACCAAATGGGCACGATAGTCGCGAACTTTCTTCGAGCTTGAAATCGGGGTAGGGCTACGGACTGGAGCGGCTTGCAATCCCAGAGTCTCGCGCACGCCCCACTTCGACATAGGTGGAAAGCGGCTCCTGCTAGGTGCATACAAGCTGCTCGACGTTTCGCCTGGACCCGGAAGATGGCCCGAGACCCAATCCCACGCCCAAGTTATCGCTGCTCTCTGGGGAGCTCTCAATGGCGGACACCCCGCACTGGACCCGAGTGGGCGCCTGACCCGAGCGGCCGCCCCCTTTGGCGCACCTGGTACGAACTTGTATTTGGATGCACGCTGGGATCAGCGGCACCGACAATTTTCCCCAGCGATGGAGCGAGCACCATCACTCGTATGTCGCCCTGTTGCATGTCGAGGAGGTGCGAGAACCATGGCTTCGGGTCGACCCCTCGATTCTAAAGGCCGCCATGCTGACGGAAGGCGAGGAAATCCTTTTTCGCCCGCCCAGAGGACCTGCACGAGGTGTAGCGCCGCCGGCAGAAGAAGAACGCACAGCTCTCATCGGCACCCTCCGAGACGAGAACATGATCTTTTGCAGCCAGATATTCTCCTCCCATGGGGCCCCGACCTCCCATATGTTTCAATCTCAAGGTGGCGAACATGGTATGCGAAACCTGCTGCACACATGCGCGATCTGTAATCTATGCCCCTGGTGTCGTCCAACATGTTCTACGAAAGACAGTGCACGTCGACATGTACGATCAGGACAGTGAACGTTCAACAGTGCAGCCCCAAATGTTGTATTGTCGATCTCGTTCTTTCTGGCCCCTGGTTGCCCCGAAAGAGCCCGAGTGCACATGCTGCGACGATACGTTGGAGACCGTGGACGAATAGAGCGGCCACGTCATGCTGCAACGCCTGTCTCGACTGGCGCCCGTGGCCGTCTACCCTCGAGCCGTGCTGGCACTGTCGGCCTGCTGCAGGACGTCGCCCTCGCCCCCTCGCTGCACATCGCAGGAGCTGGGATGGTCGGAGGGGGGAGGGCCGCGGCAGCTGCCCAGACCCGCCGCGGGCGGGGGCGGCGAAGGCGGCGAGGGCCGCAGAGTCAAGGCCCGACAGAACGGCGAGAAGAAGGCAGACCTCGGCATGAAGGGAACGCAGAATCCACTTCGAGTGCTGATCCTCACGTGCCTTCTCCAGCTCGGCCAATGGAAGAGGAACGTGGAGGGAGGCGTCTTCGGCTGCATCGTGATAGACACCAGCCACGAGGCCGCGAAGATGAGCGGGAATCGAACGAGGTACTCAGAAACGGTGGCGGCGCAGGGCAAAGGACACAACCTCGGCTCGAACACAAAGTAGCTCGAACACAAGGTAGCCGTGGGAGCAGCCAGCGTGAAGAAGCTCACCGAACTACGCCAAAGCTGGAACAACTCGACATTCGTTGCAAGATGGACTGCTACTACGACCAGACCCAGAAAGTACTGATCTACCTCGACTCCTCGATCCGTGCAACGATCATGGACAGCCTGCTGCAGACGGGCGCGGAGCTGAAGGAACGCGAGATCCAAGACTGGCTCGAGACTTTCACGCACCTGTAGACGCAAAAAAGTGAGGTGCAATTCATGAGACGGCTGCTACCCTCGGCAGCGAGTCGGTCTGGCGATCACTGTCACACCATGCTCGGAGCCCCTGCCCTCCCGCCTCCTTGTCGGCGGTGGACAAACCTCCCTTTAGTAATCCAATAGCCCTTATAACGGCGACGATGGAACACAGTGCCGGGGAACTGCTTTGAACATCACCAGTCGTTCAAAGCAGTGCCCCGGCACTGCTTTGAACGATGCGGAAATGCGATCAGCAGGAGCCTTCGTCTGTTCCTTCTCCTCTTCTCGTCGCTGTATGCTCTTCCTTGTCCTCCCTCCTCCCCCGTTCCCTCTCTAATTAATTACCTCGTTCTCCCAGTCTCACGCGCACTCTTCCTCCCCCCTCTCCTCCTCCTCTTCCTGCTTCTCCTCCTCGTCCTCCTCCTCCTCCGCCTCCTCCCCCTCATTTGTTATATTTCTCCGTCCTTGTCCTCCTGTCCCCGTTCTCCTTCTCCCTCTCCTCCTCCTCCTCCTCCTCGTCGTCGTCGTCCTCCTCCTCTTCCTCCTCCTCCTCCTCCTCCTCCTCCTCTTCCTCCTCCTCCTCCTCCTCCTCCTCCTCCTCACCTTCTTCCTCCTCCTCCTCCTCCCCCTTTTCCTCTCCCTCCTCCTCCTCCTCCTCCTCCTCCCCCTTCCCCCTCTTCCTCCTCTGCTATCACTCCTCCATAATTCCTGTCCGCTCCTCCCCTTCACTGATCTTCCTCTTCGTCATCATCATCCCTTTCGTCGCACGCCTCTTAATCCTCAATCGGTTCCCAATCTTCTCGACTTTCTTGTCATCCGCGTCCTTGGCTGTTGGAGGGGCCTCAGGAATTCTCAGGGCTCTTGTGTTGCACGCGAAGGCACACCTCCCAGGAACGCATCATCCTCCTCACATTCACCCTCCTCCTCCTCATCCTCCTCCTCCATGCACGTTCGGCTCAAGCCCGCGCCGACGGTAGGTTTCACGGCGGTTGGGCGGGCTCGCGCCCGCCTCCGCGGCCTGCAGTCGGGGCAGAGATGCGTGCAGGGTGGGATGACAAAGCGGAAGAGGAAACACGGGCCGCAGTTGCGGATTCTTCAAAGAGCAGCGGCGGCGGTTGGGGAACAAGTGGGGGTTGGGGCGGCCGCAGTGGCGGATACGGCGGCGGAGGTGACCGCAGTGGCGGCTGGGGCGGCGGAGATTCTCTTGGCGGATGGAGAGGAAAAGCGCAGGATGGCGGCGACGGAAGTGACCGCAGTCGCGGATGGGAGGGCGGCGGATGGGGCGGCAACGGATGCGAGGGTTGGGGAATGGAGGGCGCCCGCTGGTGGGACGACGAGGGTGGCTGGTGGAATGCATGGGAAGGTGGCCGCTCGAGTGCCTCGGCAGGTTCTCCTGCCGCGGAGCCCGCGGCCGCAACAGCGGCGGGCAAAGGAGGCGGTCCCCTGCTTCCCCCAGGGCGCGAAGAACAAGGCGCAGT